CCTGAGACACAGCACAGAAGACGTTCACCTTAGGGGAATCTCTTTAATGCTCAACTGTTTCATGTGGGTGCTCTGTTCCCTAAATATGCACATTGTGACGATTGACTGTGCCGCTCAAGTGAAAAGTTGCTTCATCACTAAAAATTAAACATGAAATGAAGGTTTCATCATCCATCATCTCCTCCATTGAATCGAAAAATTCCATCCGCTTCCTTTTGTTGTCATTGGTAAGTGCCTGAACGAGCTGCAGTCTCTATGGTTTCAAATGCAGACGTACTGTTAGCACACGCCAGACAGTGGATTGAGGGATCGCAAGCTCACGGCTAGCTCGATTTGTTGACTTCTGTGGGCTCCTCTCAAATGCAGCACAGATTCTCGCCACATGTTCTTCCGAGACTCGTGGTCATCCTGGACTTTTTCCCTTACACAGACACCCACTCTCTTGAAACTGTCAAAACCACCATCAAATGTTCTTAGGACAGGGCGGATTGATGCCGAATTGGCTTCAAAAAGCACACTGCACTGTGACAACCGAATTTGTTTTCGCGAACTCGAGAACGCAGAACGCCTTTTGCTGAGGACTTGCCATTCCGAGGGTAAACGAGCAACTGAACATTGCCAGAAGAACGACACGACTTCAGCGCCCCTGTGGCAGCCATTTACAACTTAGATAACTCCTCTTTCAAATGGTCACTGACTCATTCCATGATGATGCTTGAGAAGTGAAGCAATGCGTCATGAAATTGGTTCATTTTTTTTTGAACAACCCTGTATATTGTAACGTGTTTTTCTACTGAAGACACTGTTCAGATTGTTAATTGGTTTATTTAACAACCTCCAGGTTGTAACTACAAATACTTATAACAGTCTTGTGGGTTTAGACAATTCACAAACCCTACACAATAATCTCTTCAGTAGTCTTCACGTATTTATAACGCAGAAGCTATACAAATATCACTGAGTTACACACTCCCAATACCCTCTCAGTTATCACCAACTATCACTGATTATGACACATAAACTCTTCTTATCACACTTTCGGTTCTTCTTCTTCTACGGCTGCTAGACTTATAACATTTTCTTCATGTTCACAATTCACTCGCTGCAACTGAACTCGGCGACTGCTAGACTTCAACTGTCTTCTGCGGCTGCTACATTTTAACTCTCTCCTTACGCATTTCAATCTCCCTTATAAACCCTCAGTTGGACAGCGGAAAATGCACATCGCTTCATTGTTGCGTAAACACTGTGTTTACAGGTGTTGCTGGGGAATGCTGCTGAGAGTTGTTTATTGCTGCATAGTAACCGCGGTGTCCCCTGTTACGTCATTGTGGGAAGTGCTGTTATGTCACCGTGGGGAGGGGGTGTTTACTGAGCATTGCATAATGATGAAAGGAGTGGGGATATGTGATGTCAATCGCGAGACCGCAGGGTTCATGTGACACCTACTTCCTGTTGCACCATCCACGTCACACATGAACCATTTTGTATAATTATTTCCAGAATGCTGAGTATAAATAGCAAATTATTTCTGTCTTAACGTTCATATTGTTTGTAGGATATCTGGTATCATTTGAACTTGCATTGGAAGGATATATAGATGCTGAGACACCATTAACCACTGTTATTTTAGTGTGTCCTTTCCCATAATTTGTTTCTCCACTTGTTTGTATACCTCATATCCTCCATTTGACAAACTTCAAGGTGTTCCCTGCTTCTTTAGAGTGAAGTTTGTTAGTGTAGGCTTACTCATCTTATTTGTCAGTGAGAATACTATACAAATTTTGATACATCTTTCAATTTTGTTTCAAAATAATCCCCAATAAGTAGTTAGTTAGTTAGTTATTAGAGAGGGTGGGTTTCCCCATGCACTGAGACCTGTATTGGTCCATTGTGCTTCCCTCTATGATTTCTACCAGNCGCCCTTAAAAATTCGACGACCTCCGCCGGGTATTTGAACCCACGTACTACGAGTCATGAGGTGGGAACGTTACCTCTAGACTACGGAGGCCGCTATCTCCAATAAGTAAGTACCAGGCATAAGTCATTAATATTTTTCTCAGGAATAACCATTTTTAAATTATTTCACTGAAAATCTTATTGATAAATGCAATTCACTGGTTAGTTACTGCTGTCTATATATTATTTTTAAATAAATAAACATATATACTTACTTACTCGTGGAGCTGAGCCCTTCTGGATGAGCTGCCAATTCTGCAGCTACTCAAGAATTTCCCAGCATTTTATGGAACTTGAAGGTTCATTACCGTGTTCACAGGAGGCCTCCACTGGTCTCTATCCTGAGCCAGATCAGTCCAATCCATACCATCCCATCCTTTCTCTCTAAGATCCATTTTAATATTGTCCACCCACCTACTCCTTGGTCTTCCAATTGGTCTCTTTTCTTCTGGCTTTCCCACCAATATTCTATACACATTCCTCGTCTCCCCCATTTGTGCTACATTCCCTGCCCACCTCATCCTTCTTGACTTGATCATTCTAATTAATATACATTCCAATAAATAAACATATATATAATGTTTAAAATCATATCTCCATTCTCATTCATATAGTGAGATGAGAATAGAAGTTTGTTCTAGAAATAGGCTTACTATAAAAGGTTAAGCTAGTCTTTGTGAAGGGGTATGGGTTAATCAGGTGTTTGGCTGCACTTGGAGATAAAGTATTTCAGTTACACTCAACAAGTAATTCCTCTGACAAAATGTAATACATAGTAGTCAACAGTTGTCTCACCAAAACTAAGAGCTAGACCTAAGAATCAATTGTAATGCCTAAATCAGAGCTTCTCTGACTGCTGAGTATTTCATCCTTCTGAAAGGAACATGCATAGCATAATCATGTGTGATGTCTCTGTATGTCACTAGTCAATGGTGGTGCCAGAAGACCAGGATGGCAAGTCTGATGAATGTTCAGAGCTGTCCAGAGACACATCCAGACCCAATCTTACTGTGGCACCAGCAAGCTCACGTAAAGCTGGCACCGCTGACCAGAAAGCAGAGACTAGAAAGTCAGCCAAAGTTATTGTTGACATGCGGGAGTTCAGAAGCGAGTTACCATCACTGATTCATAAAAGGGGCATAGAAATTGAACCCGTAACATTACAGGTTGGTGCTGGTAGAATTAGTCTACATTATTGAAATAACAGAATTTAGAAACAAGTTTGTAGAACTCATTTACACAAAAGAAATAAAGGCTATCATTGTACATGTTGTCAGACAGAATACAGGAATATGAAAGTTTGACTTTAGAATCCCATATTTTATATTTTTCACATGTTTACACACTTTTGTTCTTGTAGTCCTGACCTTGAAAATATGCCGAGTTTTTACATTTTGTAGTTACTTCTCAGTATTCCTTCCCTCAGACTTCCTTCCCTCAGACTTCCTTCCCTCAGACTTCCTTCCCTCTTAGCAGTCACACATGGTTCACTCTAAAACTACAAGTTATCATGAACATGTACAATTGTTACTGTCAAACCAACAATACTTTATTATTTATTTATTTATATAGAATGCGCTACATGTTTCGACCTCAAATGGGTCATCTTCAGGTGCTGCAAGTTTCTCACACACAATTACCAAACTGCAAGGCTGGCCTTCCCATTCATATAAATGCTTCATACAAGTTAGTTTCAGTTCAACAAACACGAAGCTGTTCACAGCTTATAACATTTTGAAAGATCACTTTTAAATATCAAATTCTGGATTTAGGATCACCTAATTATTAAATTAGGTTTAACTTATTGTTATGTGTATGACTTTATCACATGTACGGTTTGTATTCTGATTTTTATTCCTATTTTATTGTTAATTTTAACCAAAGTGTAGTTGAAGTTTTGTCTAATTTGTGAATTGAATAGAAACTAATTTATATGAACCATTTATAAAAATGGGAATATTAGTGTTGCAGTTCAGTAATAGTATGTGAGAAACTTGCAGCACCTGAAGATGACCAATTTGAGTCAAAATATGTATTACATGCTATGTAAATACATAAATAAATAATAAAATATTATTGAATTGACAGTAAAAATTATATATGATCAATGTATGCAATCCTTAAAAATACATGTTATCGATCGGCTGATTCATTTCTGCAAGTGATTTGCATAAGCACCATGTGACTTTGTTTAGGCCTAACACACAGAGGATTTTTTTGCTACCAGAGTCTGAAAGCCCATGCATGCTACACCAGAATTTTTAAGATTACCTCACAGTACTAGAGAGGATGCTGGGTGCTGAAAATCACAAAAGCTTGCTTTTCATTTATCAGTGTGCTGCTCCTCTCAAGAACACCACATTTCTCAGCACATCAAAGTTATATTTACCCCAGCTGACTGAGCCAGCCACTTGCACCACCTAGATTTGGGAATCATCCATTCATTCAAGCACCATTGCACAAAGCAGTTGTTTCAGAAGGCTGTAGCCATTATGATGGGGGGCTGCTTCAGGATTTTTTAGAATAAGAGAAATCATTGACATCATGAATAGTAAGTAAGTAATCAGTAATCTGTCAAACGACAGGTCCACAGTCTCTTCCAAAACAGTTCCTCCACTTAACCTAATCACAAGCTTTCTCCTTCAAATAAAAATATCCTCTTCTGTCCCCAAGGTCATCCAGCATCATGAATAGATATCAACTTAAACATATTTAGGGGCCTCTTGACTTAAAACAATGATTTTACAAGGTTGTCTTCTTTTCTACCAGAATGCTTGAATGAAATTTATACTTTTATATATGTCACAGTCAGCGTACAATAAAACAGATCTGCACAGCACTGGATTTATTTTCAATTGCGTCCACTTTCCATTTCTTACACGTTTAAATTAAAGTTCTGTATGACCATATTACCTCATATATTGCTTCATCTTGTGTGCAGAAGTGACATAGTTTTAATCACGTTATTGCCATTGTTCATCGTTTTCAATGGAGAAGTGATGTTTTAGGAATGCATGTTGTTGACCAAGAGGCTTGTTTTTAAATGAGAATTCTAGCCCTGCAAATTGCATCAAATTGTTTGGAATTATTGTAATATAATGAAAATTCCTGAAGTTCTCTCATGCTGTTTAAAGCATCATGGTATGTGCTGAGTTGGCACTCAGTCTGTTCTTTGGAAGTTCTATATTTTCTTTTCCATCAGCTTCTGTTTCATCCTCAGTATCAATGTTAAGATAATCTTCTGCTGTAACATTTTCATACACAGGCTGACTGAGAGACTCCTGGAGTGTCTGCTAGTGAATAATAGAAATAATAGGTTGCATTCAGATGGGAAGTACAGCATGGGAAAAAAAAGAACCAATTCATTCAGTACTGGGGGGGAAAAAAGTACAGTATTGTGACATAACTACCTAATCATTGTTGCATGGTAACAGATGGACAAACATGTAACAGCCACTACAGCTGTTGGGGACATTGTTAGAGATTGTGTTTTTTGTGAGATTCATGCCAAAGTAATATAAGGCGAGGACTGTATATTGCGCCTTACTAGCTCTTTTCTTTCTCAGAGAAAATTCAGAGTCCCAGTGGAAGGTGAAATATCTACACCAATGGACATGCAAGCAGGAATACCAAAGGTTCCATCCTGTCCCCCACACTGTACAGTATATATATATATATATGATACACCCCAAACATCTCATGTCTGCCTAGCTCTCTTGCTGTTGACATCTATATATATGAAACATCACAAAGAGGGTTATGTTCTCAGAAAGCTGCAGCGAAGGCTCAGTGCTATTGAGATGTCGTGAAACAAGACCTCAAGGGGTGTATTCTTGTGACGTCACTTTATTACTCGACGTCGTAACTACAGTTCAACGCAACTATAACACAAATGTTGAACAAGTCCTTTCACGGTCACTTCTTTCGTATTAATAACTTTCACTAGACTGTAGAACTGCTCTGCTATCTGTGCAGCTTCCACTGGCTTCTCTCAACAAACACTGTCTTCTGTCGGTACACACTGTCTTCTCTCAACACAAACTTCTGTCAGCTTCAACTGCTTTCTCTCAATGCACTCTGCACACAGTCTTCTGTCAGCACCGCTGGCTTCTCTCAACACACACTGCACTGTCGGCCTCCACTGGTCTCTGTCTGGGCACAACATACACACTTCTATGAATACCGTCTTCTCTGCACCACTGCCATCACTGATATATATATATACTGTCCTTGGGAACGCAACAAAATTACAAAAACCAATGACTGACTTGATGATGTAAAGCATGAGTCACAGAATTTTTTTCTTGTTTTATACTGTAACTTTTGTTTTATATAATCTAATGTATTGTATTTTTACATCAAGTATTTTATATAATTAATATTATTGTATCCAATTTTACTAATACTGCAGTTCAGTGGTGTATATATTTTAGCCATGTATTTGCCTGATGATGGCTATTAATAGTTGAAACATGTAGCAGAGCCAAAACTAGGCACTGACCTCGATATAGTTGTGTTGTGACAGTTTTAATAAAGAAGTTGTGTATATATATATATTGGACAAGTGGGGCCTGTCGCCTATCAGCAGCATCCTCCACTGTTACGTCACTGTCTCGTCACCTGGCACAGCTCCTCTGCTGTTGCGCCNGCTCCTCTGCTGTTGCGTCACCACAGGGAAGTGTTTACTCGCCTGTTGCTCCTAGCAGCAGCAGCAGCAGCGGCTCCTATACTTTTACATCACCGTGGGGAATGGTTTACCCACAACGCATGCATTATCGCGTCATGCTGAGTCCACGATTCCCAACATCCTCCCCACCCTGGTCAATCCAAAGGAATGACCAGCTGCACTGGATAACTGATTCTCGTTGTGTTCATTGTCATGACCATGAAAAGTTCCAGATGGGTCTTGTGTTTCTTTTCTTCCTTTCTACAACCGCTCGTTCACTCTCTCTTTCTTACCAGTGGAGGCTATAACTCCAATAGTGGCCAGGCTCCCCCATATCCAGCTCTTACTCCATATGCAGTCTCCTTTTCCGTTTCAGAGGGGTCCGACTCCTCCACAAGGTCCAATTCATCATTCTTCGTAACCTGACAGACGCTCAAGACGCTTCTTCCAATCCGTCATTCTTCTACAGTTAGGCTTCTCTCCTGTCGAGACAAGTCCCAATCTCCTGCTTGGCCTTCAAATGTGCCCGCTTGGCTGAGTCGATGTATTCTTCAGCCACCTCCACATCAGTCGTGAATTCTTTGTCATCTGAAAGATCCTGAATATCGTTATCCAATGAAAGTAGTTGATCCAGGGCCTATCGTACATGGTCTCAGTAGTACTCACAATCCTCAAGTGAGGTGCTGGCAGTGGATTCCCTTATAAGGGTAGTGAACCTTGTCATTTTCACCCATGCTGTGGAACGCTTCCTCTTTAACCTTCCAAGTTCGCTATCCACCATGTCGAGTTGTGAGAGTATCTCCAAGTACAATCTCACAAGCTAGTTGATCGTCTGTATGGGGTCTGTCAAAAGTCAGAAGTCGGAAATACTGACAGATCCAAGTTGAATTCAGCAACCATGAGTGTGTCTGTTTTCTCCTTTCCCTCGAAGTCTTGAAGTTTAAATGTATCGTATGTATCCCTCTCCTGGGTTTCGGCACCAAAAATTGTTAGAAACAAGACCTCAAGGGGCGTATTCTTGCAACGTCACTTTATTACTCAATGCTGTAACTACAATTCAACATAACTATAACACATTTGGCTGGAAGAATGCAAAAAGTGTCTAAATTAGTAAAAAATATAAAATCCAGGATAATAAAATAAAAGTTTCACCCTAGTAGGGTTGCATCCATACCTCAGAACAACATTAAATTCCATGTACAGCAGCATTTGTTTCTTTCTCATGTAGAATAATGGCATTCAGCACATGTGAACCAAAGAATATGGGATCCAGTTGTATACTTTATGCATTTTAGAATTCAGATTATAATATATTTTAATTGTCATAGGTTGGTGATTACATCTTGACACCTGAAATATGTGTGGAGAGGAAAAGCGTGAGTGATCTGATTGGCTCTCTAAACTCTGGCCGACTATACAATCAAGCCCTTGCCATGACAAGGCACTATAATAAGCCTATGTTACTTATTGAATTTGACCAGAACAAACCTTTTACATTGCAGGTATGTGCGAGTTACTCTGTAAGTGATTTTATTTTTCCAGTCCTGCTCTGAAAATCTGATGCACACAGTGGGTGGAGATGGCAGAAACGCCTATGTATACCAGTATTCATGGCATGAAGTACTCAGTTGTTATTATAATAGCCAGGATAGAAATGTAATCTCCTAAGGAGAATTTATTTCTTGTGAAATTGTATTGCTTCTGAAGCTTTTCAACATTGGAACACCACATGTACACAGTCCAGATGACTGATTATTTTGTTTTCCCATTACTAATAAATACCTGGGCCTCAGCAAACCCATTGGTCTGCTTATCCATGACAGTTGAAAAATTGAGACATGAGTGAAAAAAATTGTCAAATTTATTCATTTACATTATCATGTTTTTACTTCTCCATAGATATCAAATGGTAAATTTGAGGGTCTTCGCTAACATGATACTGATACTGTCTTGTGGAATGTGATGCTATATAATTTTGTAGAAGATTACTGATGTTTTTGAGTGACGTTTTGCCTCATCTTCCAGGTAGAGAGGTACCCTTACACCACTTCTGCCATGAAGATAGACGCAGTAGGTTTCTCCAAAATGTTGGTAGACACCCATCAGACTATGTAGCATGACATCCCAGAAGACAGTATTCTTCAATATCACCCCTATGATATGCTCATGTCTGACACTCATATACGTTATGTTTCAACTCTCAGATGTAGGACAAGGATATGAGCAAAACAATACTCATCAGTTATCTTGCATTTTCAGATTTTGTAAAAGGAACCATCAGTACAGAAACATTCCCACCTTTTTTATCACTCTGTGCACCAGTCACATTGGTAAGGCATACAAAAGAATCAGAAAGCATTGTCCATGTTCATTAAATAATACATAAATCTTGTGTAAAGTTTAAGGAACAGTAGTTTACTAGCGTTAGTAGTTCTGGACAGTGGGTGTACTTTTGCCCTCTTCCTCCTCTCTTCTTAACAAAATATAAATTACATGAAAATTATTTTTATTCCCACACTGAGGCAAAGGGACCATAGTCTACATTTTTACTACCATGAAAAATGCCAAACGTTTAGTGAACATATTTACTATAGATTCTAAAGTGTTCTGATGATGGTGTATAATGCTCAGAATTACTATTTCTTTTTTTAATTTGTCCAGCATTCGGTATTCTAGAATCTGGAATACTAGATGATGGACAATGTCCAAAAAACCAGTAATTTTGAGATTTAGTATAGCCTTGAGTCTATTGGGTAGAGAGAAAGTTTCATTGCTTGTATCTGTGTTTTCCTGGGTTACTGCTGTAGTACAGAGCTTAGTATACCATTTGCTTACCTTGAATATCAAAATTTGATGTTGGTAAGTAAAGGGAGAGCGAAATACTTAAGTGAGGAATGCAAACAACAACGTTGAGAATGAAATTTTTAGATATGCATGTAACAATGTTAGCTCCATTTTGAAGATACTAGGGAGTGAAATTATTTATGTTCAGATATAAGTATGTTCACAGCTCTGCAAGGAGATTTTAGTGATATAGAAGTGCTCCTAGAAGTGCTTGAGAGTGAGATATTTCTGGAAACATTCCCCTTTGTGAAGTGGCATTATACACTTTCAAATGTAGACAGTCATAGTCCTTTTATTGTGAACTGCACAAACATGGCATTGCCTAGAAGGATGCTTCCCCTTGGAATGTTCACTCTTCACAATTTTCATGAGGGTATGTTTCTGCATATCACCCAAGAGTCGCCCAGGGGTGTCCACATGAGGTCTGCGTGGGGTGGGAGTTCATGGGCTAGGTCGCAATAAGTCTGTCTGACTCTCTGGTTCTGCCGCCACCATCTGGTCTGTAGCCCAAGCCTTTGCCACATTCATCAGAAATGCTTTGCATTTCAATTTTGAATCAGGGTTTAGATTTTTGTAAACCAAAAATGAATTGAAAATGGCACAATTTATAAGCCACAAGGCAAATTCACTTTTATTATCTGTGGCCACAATTCTTTGTTGACCCCTGTCACTTCCACTCTCTGAGTCACTAATCACTACTACTCCAAAAGGCACGTCAGATAGCTCATCGGAAAACAAGTCAGACAGTTCGCTTGCCTTCAACCGCTTTGGTCCTTGAAACATATTCCCCTCTACTAACTTCCTGCCTGGTACATAAACAGCTGGAAGGGGCAAAGTTTATTTTCTTTTGGAGTAGGGACCCTAGCCAGCCAGGTCAAGTTACTGAATACCTAGCATACATTATGAAGATTTATTACGCAGTATTCATTGCAGTTGCATGGCGCCAGAGCAAGGTATAGTGTGTTTGAACATAACGTGTCCTAAAGTCATAATAATATGCCACCGGTCCACCACGTTTAAAAGCGCTGGGCATAAAAATACGCCACCAGTCCGCAAAGTGTTAAAAATGTAGAAATGCTAGACCAGTGTAATTTATGCATTGTGTATATGGGGCTTTTTCCAGGATTCTAGAAAATTAACACTAAATACAGGAAAACCTTACATTGGTATTCCACTGTATTACATATCCGTACTCTGTGTTGCAGGGAACATACTATATGAGCAATGATGTAACATCCAGTGATGTTGTAGCAAAGCTCCAGCTTTTGACTCTGCATTTCCCAAAGCTGAAGCTTGTCTGGTCACCAAGTCCATATGCCACTGCTCAGTTGTTTGAAGAACTCAAGGTAATGGGTAGTTACAAAATAAATACACATTTTCCTGAATATGAATGAAGATTTTTTCCTAATTTAGTGTGTGAAAAATGAGAAGGGGAGAGTGTTTTATAATATCAGAAAAAGCAAGTACATCATGTTCTTTCCCAGAAGATAGAACTCTTCATAACCACTGCGTTGAGAACCTCAAATCCTACATTCTATGCATTGATCACAGGTTGGTTTTCTGGTAGTATGCATCAGTAGGTTATATCAACACTTATTTTTTTAAAACAAAAATAAAATAAATTATAAATTGTTACCGAAAATCAGGGAAAAATGAACAGAAGTACCATCCCAACACAGAAAACACAAGTCATGTGACAGCTAAGCAATGTTGGGGTGTGACATCATTTCACCTGTGTGGAAGTGTGTTTACTGAGCCATTGCCTAGAAGCAGGTTGCATTACCCCATTGTTCCATTGTTGCATACGTGTATTACTTAGAAACAGCTGTTTCCGTGGCTCAACCGTTCTTGCATGGAGCATGCCATAATATTTTCTTTATTTCTTTTCTGTTCTAACTTTCCCATCATATTTTATGTTGTCTTTGATGATCTGGTGTACATTATGTGCAAATAACTATGAACCAACAAAGCAACCTCAACCAGTTACCCAGAATCTATGAAATCACTTAATGTTCCATTTATTTTTATCATTTACATATAATTATTGCCAAGAATTTAATCAGACCTCTACATACAGCATGGACGAGAGGAACCAGACCCAACAGATGCAGCAGCTATTGGAATGGAATTAAGTTCAGAGCAACTGGACTCAGACATGCTAGAGATGTGGAACACTGCTGTAGATGATCTAGTGACCAAGTTACCAGGAGTGACAACAAAAAATCTGCGCTCGTTGCTGACCAAGGGCCAGTCCCTTGATTATCTTCTTTCTCTTTCAAAGGTAATAAATATAATGTACAGCAGTCTTAATGTCATTTGCTACTCTTATTAATGTCTGTATATGCAGTGAATCCTGGATTTTGTACATATCTGAAGGGACCACTTAAAATGAATGTAAAATCAAGGAGCATATTAAGTCATGGAAATGAAAATCTGTGTAGCTATTTAAATTAAGTACCTCAGTTGGTATAAGAGTGAGGATAGTGCCATCAATATAGCGACTGACTATGGGCTGGGTGACCGGGGAGGGTTGGAGTTTGAGTCCTGTTAGGGTCAAGAATTTTGTCTTTTCCAAGTCATCCAGATCAGCTCTGGTGCCCACCCAGCCTCCTCTCCAATGAGTACTAGTGGCTCTTTTGCCAGGGGGTAAAGCAGCTGTGGCGTGAAGCTGACCACTCACCTCCAACTAGTGCTGAGGTCAAGAAAATGTGGATTGATACATCCACTGCCCCATACACCTTCATGGCATAGTGCTTAATTAGTTAAGCACAGGGACAACTTTACCTTTTGTCTCAGTTGGTATAATGACTAGGCTATGGGAGGGATGACCAAGGATTTGGGATTTGATTCCTGGTGTGGACAAGAGACTGTACTCTATAATGTCCAGACCAGATGGGATGGTCCACCCATCCTCATATACAGTGGGTACCAGGTGCTTTTTTCCCAGGGGCAATGCAGCAGAGGCATGAAGCTGACCATTTGCCTCATCTAGTGCTGAGGTTAATGGTGGAGCTGTAATTCCACTCCCCATATGTCGCTTGGTGTTTATTTAAGCCAGTGGATACCTGTAGCCTTACCATATGCTAAATTAATACTGTACTACATTAAAAATGTAATCCAGATCAATGTGTTGTGTTAAAAATATAATCTGGTTCAGTTCTTCCACATGCCCAATAAGGTAAGCTGTTACTTTTTCACTTTCTGCTGAACCCCATACACCTCATTCTCAATACTACTGAGGGCAGTCATGATGTTATCGACATCAAACTTCATGAGGTATTTCCTCAGAGTGTTTATGCCCTCCAGTACTAAAAAAACGTTGCTAGAGGTTGACTTTTCCACCACCATCTTTCTTTTCCCCAGACACATCTAATGTAAGCTGTTCATCTGTCATTTGTTCTAAGGTCTGCGCCTCCACACAATACACCACCACCACCACTGCTGCATTTTCTTGATGGAAGTTTTAGTGGGACTGATAAAAGGAGCATAGAATCAAGGATAATGTAGATTCAAGTAACATAGTATCCAGGTTCCACTGTATTATCATGGATAATTTAAGCTAACTTTGTGCATCATGTTAATTGCACTGAAACTCTGAGCAGTGCACATTCTTACAGGATTTACTGCTTATTCTGAAAATGTATTGGGAAGTGTATAAAAAACTGAAACATTTATTGGTTCATTATATAATTTATTTGATCCTAATTTTATTTGTAGAGATTTCATATCATACCATGTCTGTTCAAGACAGATAACCTGCATGAAAGAATTGCTTGCATTGGCACTTCAGGAATAATATGTTGTGTTTAAGGACCCACTAAGCGAATGTAAAAAAAAAAAAAATTGTTCCAGGACCCTTGACATGAATATTGACACAAAACATGTGAAATCCAGACACAGCCCCCCCTTGATTTATGCATAATGCAATAGGAATGCATGAAATGTACTTGAAGGCTTATGTCAGTAAATGTGGAGGGTAAGTTGGAAAGTATTTCATGTGTTAGTGACTAGACACAAGGTTTGGATTACAAATTAGATTAATTAGACTCTTATAACTAATCTATGACAGATTCACAGATCTACATAATCTACAGATTACTGTACTGCAGCACACATAAAGTGTTCTACAAGTATGTCTTCATTAGCCATTGCTTGGTTACACTCATCACTAGGTGTTGCTAGGTTATTGCTGCCAGCCATGGAGATTCTTCTGCTTTGATGCTGATGTTGTCACTGTCTGGCAGCTGGCTTGCATCTAACTCATGACAGTGACTCTCACACTCGACTACCAACTTCCAACTCCTAGTCATGTCTGGCCATCACTGGCTACCTCAGGCTATCCTGACTGGCACTGGCTAACTTTTTCCAGAGGTTCTTGCTATATATAGCTTTGGCATGGACCGCATAGAAAACATCACTCCCAGCAGTTCATCTGTTTTTGTATGTGTATCCATTGCCATGATATGTATTTATTGAGCCATCACCTGGCAGCCGCCATTATTCTGACCTTTCAGCTGCCATGTCACAATATTAATGTTTATACATACATGCTGAGACATCTCAGTCATCAAGTGACTGGGGTTTGATTCCTTGTGGGGGCATTAATTTTTTTCTTTGCTAGCTTTCCCGGATTAGATGGGTGGACTGTTCACCCTTGTTCCCAATTGGTAACATGATCAAAGCATGAAGATATAAAGAAACCTCCATCTACTGCCAACTTTAAGAATATGTAGAACTTTACCTCCACTCTCTTTTAAGCCTTCATTGCATGAAATTAAGTGATATACATGTATTTCTAGGCCATCATCTCTCCTGTAGTGGAATGTTGAAAGTTCACTGACATTTAATTTTTGTATGCAGCCTTTTAATTTTAGAAATTCCATGTTGTTCTTTAAAATTCACTATCTCAGTCACCCATTATTTTAAAATTATAAACCATAAACTGTTTGAAAGACCGATTATCAAGGTTCATATATTATATTGTAGCGTGTTTTGTGTGTCACGCGACACATAAATTCACGTGGGTCTCGAATTCCGTAGAACCTTTATTGTTCTTCACTTATACACTCACACGCTTTACAATTGTTAGCCTACACAATTTCTTATACTAAGCTCTCATCTAACAGTTCATTTACTTCTTTTTAGAAACACTGAATAATTTCTTTGGATTTGAAGTTTCTGCATTTCAAAACCATGTAGTTCAATGGAAGTCCACCAACACTGTAGAGGAATGTAGCAACTCCATCTTCACAGCTGAATAGTAAGCCAAGAAAGATACCAGCAATAATCAGACTGTATGCTTATTTTTGGAGGTGATACATTACTCTGAGATGTCTGTGGATTTCTACAAAAATATATGAAGTTAATAATCATTAATTTATATTCTTCTACCTTAATTCTAAATAACTACATGGCTGACACAGATTTCAGTTGAAATAAAGTTGCTACTGTTACACTTCTAGCTTATGCATTCATATACAAAGTCTCTCAAAGGACCAATTCAACCGACTCTCTTACTGTCAACCTGTTAGCCAGAACCTTGGCCACTGCCTGCCAAGAGGAAGGAGTCTAGATTGTTGGTTAATATGCCATGAATTATAAGCATGGATATGCTTTCCTAAGGAAGATAATTGTTTAGAAAAACTCATCATTACAGCAGATGTTCAAAATAATCTGCCTTATGCTCTTAAACAAACTTTGTATCATGAAAACATTATTTCACACTCATTTGAGTACACTTACCACAGTGGACGTAATTCTGTCATAGATATTGTGCTAAGTTCATCCATTGTGAGGGGATTATGTCAATACTTTTGCTTTTTAGATTTCCCTGCAGATAAAAACCACAGGAATTTAAGCCTGGAGACCTTGCAGGCCACTATCTGAGACTTGCTAGTCTGTCTTCAAACACCTCATTTCAAATGTTAATTGAATAATTAGTAGTGTGTGCTGTAGCATCATCTTGCATAAAATAACCACATTCTGTTTTTCCTGTAATGGTGTCAAAAAGGGGCCAAAGGATATCACTGACATACCACCCTGAATTAATGGTCTGTTAAAAAAATATGGATCCTATTATGTGTGTAGCAGTAATGGCACACCACACACCAGTCTTCTGATCATGAAGGGATACTCTGAAAGTCTGTCTTGGACTCCATCCAGGCATCACTTAAAGCATATTCAGCTGCTGCCTGTAGGGTCTTCTCACTGTCAGAACACCCAAAGTCAGACATTCAATAAAGACTCTATTATGCAACCCTAATCTGGCTCTAGCATTTAGAAATGAAATATGATACAACCCTGGCATCCAAGATGGTTAACCAGCAAATGAATATGTGCTGAACGAATAGAAAATATTGTCCATCTGGGGTATTTCAAATGATACAATTAGTAGTTTTGTCTGCTGGTAGTTAGTTCTGGTGCACTTTTACCCTCCTTATCCCTCATTTTAATGCCTCATGCCAGCAAGTATATGGCATGAAGATTTCTAAACATTTAACTTTTATGGAATTCTGTTACAGTAAACTGATTATGATACTCTAAAATTTGTAGTTGTCTAATTTTACTATATTTAGTTACTTTATTTTGTCTACAGGATGAACTGGTGCAGATAATGAATAACAGTAGTGAAGCACAAAACCTATTCGATGGACTTCACAAAACATATCAAGATGTGCAAGTATTGGATGTTGGATATAAAGCACCTGAAAAAGGACGAGGCAAAAGCCGAGGTCCCTTCAAAAGACGCAAAGTATAACCCTTCTCAAGGCTGCGGAAATTTCTGTGCATTGGATAATTTCTACTCTTAGTTGCAAGAATCAGCAGAAATTACCAATCCTGTGTTCACTGAATATCCTAAATGGTAAAATATATCATACATTTATGAAACATTTTTATACTCTTATTTGAAGATATACAGACTCATTCATTCTCACTGTTTTTCCTTGAACAATTATATCTTCAGTATGGTTAAAATGTTAAGATATTGGAGCTGAATTTACAAATGTTTTCATTCTCAGCTGTACAGCTGCATTTAGTATGAAACCAGGGTGTTCGGATTTTGCTCCTCATCACATCTAGAGTAATCCGTCCAGCTCACTGTGACCTTTCCCAAGAATATATATCTGGTCATTCCACATCAGATCAACTCAGAGACATTTCCAACACAGTCCTCTCAGTTTATTATTATTATTATTATTATTATTACTATTATTATTGCTGCTGCTGCCGCTCAGAGTGAGCAGACATGCTGTACTGTGTGCTGAATCACTTCACTTGTATTGATAAGGTAACTTAAAGTTCCATGTTTCTTTTAAATTCTTTATATTTATTAATTTAGGTTAATTTAAATTAACCGTATGTATGTACACCCACACATATGTATGAGGAATATTGCAATTTTTGCAGGAAGGTATGTTCTTGTAGGAAAGCTACTTAAAGCTAATAAAGAGTTGCCAGTACACTCTTGTAAACATGCAAAGGTAACAAGACATTAGGACAAAACATATTTTCTTTAGATAACTTGCATGAGAAGTGCAAGGTTCGTTCATTCTGGTTAGTGGAAGTTACAAGTGGATATTTTACTTCCCTCTCCTATTAATTTGGTCTGTTCTGTGGCTAAAATGAAGTCATGTTGTTTAGTACATGAATCACATGGTTCTCAATACAGTTATCAGAGGCAGAATAAATTATAAGTTAAGTATGCCCTCCTTAACTGGCATAGACGCAGGGAGCTGCCGAGTTCCATGTACAGTTCCAGGCATTGCATATCACTTTATAACACACCTCCTCCTTAATTAGAGGACTACGTGTATGTTGGACACTGACCATTGTTTTAATTAAGTTTAAAATATGACATTTATACCTACACTAAAATGCCATTCACCCTATCAGTATCAAGCAAGGCATACTCAGATGCCTAGGCAAAAATGTGAAAACTGTATTCACAGATCAAGAGAGTTTTAAAGAACAGCAGGAAAATCTAAGGGCCACATTAACAGGAAATGGATACCTCCCAAGATTCATACACCAAGTCCTGAGAAATAAAAAGTAAAGTAAAGCTATCCCTGCACCAAGCTGTGAAGGCCCACAGGATTGTGAGACGTTGAGGGTCCCACACTATCTAGACAGTCGGCTCAAAGATGACAGTATGGTTGTCAGCCTTACGCACCGGCCGCGCTTTACTCCCCAGGAAAATTATTTAATTAATTCCTGGTGCTCATTTCTGTTAGAGGCTGAATAAACCCCAGGGCCTAGCGCCACTGGAAGGATTAGGTCAACTGAAAAAAATCCAATGACCTCATCGGAACTTGAACCCATGACCTTCCAGCTTGTAGCATAGCCCCTCAACCACTACGCTACCGCATGCCCCCCTCAGAAACAGAAACAGAATTCAAACAGTGATGAAACCACAAAAGGTGCTGTGGTATTACCATACATCTGAGGGACATAAGATGATATTTGTAGATTTGGGAATACATTTAACCTTTAGATTGCACACAACATTATGAAAGACCATGAAAATGAAATCCATGAATCCAAGAAGTGCATATACAGCATCCCATGTGAATGCAGGAAATGATGTGTAGGAGACAGGAAGACCATTGAACACCAGAATCACCACAATAAAACACTAAAATTGGAGAAATGACCAAATCAAAAACAGCAGAACACTCCTGGAATGAGGACCACAGAGAACAAGGGATAGTTAGTTAGTTATTGGAGAGGGTGGGTTTCCCCATGCACTGAGACCATTATTGGTCCATTGTGCTTCCCTCTATGATATTCTACCAGTCTCTATACCCTACCGATACTGGTGCTTACCATCAGTCCCGACCAAGCCAGTGAGTTCGGTCTCTACTGGCTTAACGGTATCTATAATGCTTCCCCCATCTATCAGAGGCGTTAGAGACTACTGTTGGGTGGGAAATGTCCTTGAATTTTGCTCAGTGACCTCCTTAGGAGATATGAGGTTCTTTTACATGCCATAAAGCTACGACACGGGACCCACGGCTTCAAGTCCCTCCCGGAGTACTTGTTCCCTGAATTTTTCTGCCCTTAAAAATTCCACGACCTCCGCCGGGTTTGAACCCACGTACTATGAGTCATGAGGTGGGAACGTTACCTCTAGACTACGGAGGCCGCTGAGAACAAGGGATAAGGCAGAACTATAACAGAAAAGGAAAACAGGTACAAGTATTATGTTTTTGGACATTATCCATTGTCTTGTCCATTTTTTAAAAAAACGTCCTGTTTCTTTTTCAAAACACAACGTTTCAGAGACTGGACTCTGTCCCCATCCTCAGGTAAAACCTACTCAGTTCGTCCAATAGATAGAGCCAGCCCCTATCTCCGGACCTGAGGACAACAGGATCATTAAGAAACTCAGAGAGACTGTTTTCATGAAAACAGGATGAGTGATTAGCCAGTTGAGCACAGATGTCAGCACCATGTGGGCCCTCTGCTTCATAATGGGAAGTAATCTTCTGTACTCCCTGATGTCACCAGATGCCTCTGGTGTTTTAATCCCCACTTACACCTCTTAACTACTGCACCTGATACATGATGGTATAGTTATGGCGGGTTGATTGTGAAATTTGGAAATGAAAGAACCCGCTGGATAGGTCAAGCTTAATTAACTGGGCCATAGGTGGATTGGTTGCCAGTACTTGCGCCGCTGAATACAGTGTGATGGGCGGCTTATCATAATATGGAGTCCATGGTGATAAATCAAGAATAGGTCGTGCGGAACGATTTGCTTTGGCTATTAAAAATAGCCTAAATGCAGAAGTGATCACATTATTAGGTTGTAAAATACCTGTTTGCACGAGATCAGCTACCACTTCATCCAAGAGCAGTGTAGGCTTTGTGCTTTGAAAAACGCTGGGTGCGTTGCGTGGTGGTGGCAAATATACTCCTTCACAAACCGCTCATTGAAAGAAGTCGTCAGCTATCCGGGGCTGCACTAACGCTGGTACGAAAAGTGGCCTGTAGTGTTTAGGCGGCTTTTCCCATCATTTCTGCTTGACTGTTGGTCCTTTATGACTGCATCTCTTATGCCGTGCCACTCCAGCCTAGTGGGTCATCCCTCTGCAGGTGACAGCCAACTTCTTCTGGGACCCACCATCACCTTGGGTCCATTCTTTTGGCTTTCCACAGTACCCCACAACTAGATGCTTGTCCCCATGCCACTTCTTCAGTGCTCTGACAGGTTTTGCTGTGACCTTTTCTTTAGGGACCTCCTCATGCACTGCTATGGACTCTGTATCGAGCGAGGTTGGCTCCTTACTCTTCAAACAGTCCTCTGTCACTTCTTGACAGGCTGTCATCTCTTTTCGCCAGGCTTGCTTCTATCCTTTCCTGATGGGCAACTAAGTTAGCCATCATCTTTTCATGGAGGGTTTTATTTCTTCTTGATGTGAGCCCAGCTTGGCTTTCATATTTTCAAGAGAGGCCTGGATATTTGCTGTAGCAGTTAGCAGCACTGTCAAGTCTGTCACATAGATCACAATCCTGTGATGCACTCAAGCCAATAAATGGAATCCAATCTCACTTCTGATACCAGTTGTTACATAGTATATGTGACTATAGACAGGGTTCAGATTGGTGAATGGATTTATTGACAACATATACACATGACTCAGAACTACAAGTAATTACAGTGCTATCACTGATCTGCACACTTTACAAATCACTACAACACAACAAGCCTCTGTCTTTTATTGTCTTCCCTAGTCATTGCTTGGTAACAACTCTCAACAGTGGGGATTCTTCAGCTTCTGTGCTCACACTGTTGCCTCCTGGCTAATACAACTCACAACTATCCCAGGTATAAAATCCTGGCATGGACTACACAGAACACACCCTGTTTCTAACAGTAACTCTTTTGTTGCATGCGTCATTACCACCTGTAACATGTGACCTAAAGTCACAGTTACCCCATGATCAAACCCGGGCCGCCAGCATTTGTATTAGTCTTCATTCTTTACAATCAGCTGAACTCAACTAATATAATTCCACTGAGAGGGAATTGGTCTTGCTGGTGTTAAGGCCTGCTTTTGCAGGCGCTGTGCCCTCGACAATCTCTGCCATCCATCATAATTTTGATTATAATAAACAATGTAAGGAAGAAACGTCTACCAGTGTTATTCTATTTGCTTAGAGATCTGCAGAATTTGTATATCAATAAAAAGATAAACTTTCCTTACCTCAGAGTTATCAGTAGCTTCTCTTCAACTGACACACTCACCCACTTATGAAGCTGAGCCCTTCTTGAGAAGCCGCCAATTTTGCAGCTACTCAGGAGCTTCCGAGCATTTTATGGAACATGAAGGTTCATTACCGTGTTCATAAGAGCCCTCCACTTGTCTCTATCCTGAGCCAGATCAATCCAATCCATACCATTCATCTTATCTAAGATCCATTTTAATATTGTCCACCCACCTAGACCTTTGTCATCCCAGTGGTCTCTTTCCATCTGGCTTTCCAACCAATATCCTATATGCATACCTGCTCTCTCCCATTCGTGCTACATGACCTGCCCACCTCACCCTCCTTGACTTGATCATTCTAATTATACTTGGAGAAGAGTGCAAGTTATGAAGCTCCTCATTATGCAGTTTTTTCCCAACTGCAGTCACTTCATCTCTCTTGGGTCCAAATATTCTCAACACCCTGTGTTATTGTGATATTATCATTCTGAATGTTCACACCCTAATAGAAGATAACATTGATGATATAAAGGACAGGTTCTATGAAGAGCTAGAACATGTATTTGATAAATTCTTCAAGTACCATATGCAAATTTTGTTAGGACATTTCAATGCTAAAGTAGGGAGGGAAGACATTTTCAAACTAAGGGTTTGAAATGAGAGTTTCTGCCAAGGAGAGTCTAGGTTATCGTGAACTGAAGAAGCATCAGCCATGGTTCGTTGAAGGATGCTCAGAATTATTTGACCAAATAAAACAAGCCAAATTGCAGTGGTTACAGGATCCAGGGGGAAAAATGGGGATAATCTCAGCAATATAAGATGTGAAGACAGCAGGCATTTCAGGAATAAAAAGAGGGAATATCAGAAAAGCAAAATTGATGAGCTTGTAAGACCCCTATAGAGGAATAAATGACTTTGAGAGGGGTTAACAACCTAGTAGTAACTTAGTGAAGGATGAGAATGGTGATCTGCTTGCAGATTCCCACAATATTTTGAATAGGTGGAAGAACTACTTTAATCTGTAATTGAGTGTCAGTGATGGTAGGCAGATAGAAATACATACAGCTGAGCTGTTAGTACCTGATCCTAGCCCTTTTGAGGTTGAAATTGCTATTGCAGAATTGAAAAGGTATAAATCGTCAGGTAGTGATCAAATTCCAGCAAAACTTATTCAAGCAGGAGGCGAAATATTATGTTCTAAGATCCACAGGCTAATTAATTCTATTTGGCATAAGGAAAAATTGTGTCTATTATTGTACCAGTTCACAAGAAGGGTGATAAAACTGACTGTAGAAATTACTGGGGGATATCACTGATGTCAACTTGATACAAAATTTTGCCCAGTATTCTTGTCTAAATGTTAAGTCCATACACAGATGAAATTATTGGGGATCATCACTGTGGGTTTTGACGTAATATATCAATTACTGACCAGCTCTTTTGCATTCGTCAGATAACTGGAGAAAATAGGAATAGAATAGGAGTACATCAGCTATTCATAGAGTTTGAGATACCCATGAAAGTAGTTAGGTTGATTAATATGTGTTTAAACTAAACGTATAGTGAAGTCTATATAGGTAAACATTTGCGCAATAAATTTCCTATCCAGAATTGTCTGAAACAAGGAGATGCTTTATCGCCAATCCTCTTCAACTTTGCTTTAGAATATGCCATTAGGAAGGTCCAGGAAAAGAAGGTGGAAGTGAAATCATTTGGAACACATCAGCTGTTGGTCTATGCCGATGATCTGAATCCACTAGGTGATAATATAGAAGCCAAAAAGAGAAACATAAGAACTTTAATTGACGCAAGTAAGGAGGTTGGTCTAGAAGTAAACACAGAGAAAACTAAGTATATGTTGCTGTCTCATCACCAAAATGTGGAGCAAAGTCATGACATAAAAATAGATAGCAGATGTTTTGAAAATGTGCATGGTTCAAATATTTCGGAACGACAATAACAAACAAAAACCTGATTCAGGAGAAAATGAAGAGGAGATTGAACTCGGGTAGTGCTAGCTACCATTCAGTCCAGAGCCTTTAGTCTTCTCATCTGCTGTCCAAAACATAAGAACTAGAATATACAAAACTATAATTTTGCCTATGGTTCTGCTGACACAGCTGTACGAAAATTTGTATCTTGTCTTCGAATTTGAAGTCCTACAAGATCCACTAATAAAGAAAAAGTTTCAATGTTCATTCTGTAAAATGATTGGAACAGTTCTGTTTCCTGAAGAAGGCTGCTTGCACCTGCTCTCACTGTTTCTTCGTTTGCGGATTTTATTTTTCCTTCTACCCTGAAGATGGAGGCGATACGTTCCTCCGAAACGTCGGTTAACACCACATCTACACGCCACCACATCCCAAAGGACTGCTTTCTTCATAGTCACCGCCATGAAAACCTCAAATCTTACACAGTTCTGTATCCTGATTAAATTGTTTCGAAACAATATAAACACCCGACTTTAAATTGTCGAGAAAGAACGGGTGCACCCAATTTTCCTTTTCTCCTGTCTTCCTCACGCCGTCTCAACCAGAAGAGAAGTGCACGAAATTGGCGGGCCAACACAGCCACTTGGGATGATGTGATCAACTAATCCACCCTTTAGTTTCCTCAGTGTGCGCCTGCGTGTTTGGAAACCAGTTGTCTGCTTGAAATCGGCAATATTTCTCGGAAATCGCTGTTGCCAGTTTCTTTGGTGTGCGCCGGCCTAACATGAACTCTAGTTTATAACAAATCTCGAAAATCGCGGTTGCTTTGCCGTTTCCTCAATTTGCGCTGTTCCTTCAAGTGACATGTGTTTAACTCTGGCTGATAACAGTTCTCGGAAATTGCGGTCGCGTTGCGGTTGCCACTTTCCTTGGTGTACCCTCGCCAAAGAGATACATTCAAAAACAGCGGGGAGACTCCTGTTGTAGAATACGATGTGCATTGTTAGTGAGTGGTTTTAATGAGTGAAATCCAACAAGAATTAAATAATCTGAAGATCATAACATGGAATGTAAATGGCATTCGTTCTCTCTACAAAGATGCCGTTGCCATGAAGCAAGGACTTGATTCGTTAGGTGGCGATATCATTTGTCTTCAGGAAACTAGAATTACACGTATGTTGTCAATTGAATTAATAGATATTAATTGGGAAGTGTTTTGTATGGGTTTCAAATTGATCGCTTACATTAAGGGAAGAACACGAGTTGAGACTGTTTAAGAACAGAATGCTGAAGAGAATATTTGAACGTAAAAGGGCTGTAGTAACGAGGCTTATAAAATAAGTAATAGAAACTTAATAATTTTTACTGATTACCAGGAGCTGTTAGAAAAATGAAATCAAGGAGAATGAGATGAGGAGGGTATGTAGGATGCATGGGAGAGAAGAGATATGTGTATAAATTTTTAATAAGAAAACCCGAATGGAGGATAATATTAAAATGGATAGTAAAGTTATAGGATGGATTAGATTCATTTGGCTGTAGATTGTGACCAGTGACAGGATTTGTGAACACAGTGTTTGAGCCTCAGTTTCCATAAAATTTGGGGAATTTCTTGAGGAGCCAAATAACTGTTAGCTTCTCAAGAAGTACTCACATATAGAGTTAGTTTGTAGGTTAATGTCGTAATGTACAAATTTTCAGTTACTTGAAAGCCTGCTGCAAATCAGTTGATCAGTCCAGCAGAGAGAGTCACACTTCTTGTTTCAACTCATTTTGTCTGTGTTTATACCCACAGTGCTACCAAAAATTCTGTAGGCCAACAGGTTAACAAAGAAAACCCACCCAGATATTCCCAAATGCAAGAAATGGTGTGTAAAGGATATTCACGTGTTGACAACATGATGAGTCTGAATGTTGAAAGTTAGCTGGAATTGCATGTACCCCTCCCACTGGACCAGCCGAAAGATTTGCAGCAGGCTCTCAGATAACCTCCCATATAAATGTAGTATATGCACTTGTGAAGTTTGCTTCAGATTGTGTTTGCTTAACTTTAGGATTGGCTTAATGTGTACAAAATGTGCCCATGATTAAGCAGATGGAGCCATGTTATTGTATATATCATTGAATTCATAAGACATGACACTTAGTATTAGGCATTTAGGAAAAGTCACATGGGGAGATACTGAAGTCACACCTCACTTAAACTAAATCTGTATCGCACTATGACTGCACAGTATATGAAATGAATAATTAAACTTGAATTAAGAATAAGGCTGCAAATTCATGTTGTATATTGTGATGATAAATACGTGCATCGGTTTGAAAAGTATACGTGGAGAGGTAGTCTGAGCTTAACATATGTGATTAACACAGAACTGTGGTGGTTACTTGGAGGTGTAGTTCATGATTGAAATGTTCTCACATGAGTCTTATGAGCATAGCTTTGTACTTGTATCAGTTTCTGTGAAGTAGGCTGTGTTATGAACTGTAAATGCTTATGTTTCTCCAAGAGTGGCCAGTCATAGCAATAACTGTTATAAAGGCTGTGATTTCTGTTGTGAGTGTTGTGTCATCATAGTCATAAATCAGAGTTTAAACTACTGAAGTGACAATATTTTTATTTTTTCTACTTCATTTGTTCATTTCACTTACTATGCAGGATTTTCTGACAGACCATATATAGTAATGGAGGAACAAATAAAGGTATTGAAATGTTCTCACATAGTTAATATACATGTTACTGAATGAATCCGCAGCAGTTAAGAGGGTGGAGTTTGTTAGTGATGTCATGTTGTTGCTCATGTGATGTCATGGTTCCAAATATTCATGCCCCATCAAAAGCTAAAACTTTTGATACAAAGGACAGCTTCTATAAGGGACAAGAGCATGTTTTCAGACAGTTCCCTAAGTACCATATGAAAATTTTGTTATAAGATTTTGATGCTAAAGTAGGTAGAGGAGATATTTTCAAACCAACGACTGCGAATGAGAGCTTACATGAAATCAGTAAGAGTAATGGAGTTACAGTAGCAAACTGCCACATTCAAAGATATAATTGTGAAGAGTGCCATGTTCCCAGTTTGCAACATTCATAAATGAACTTGGAAATCTCCTGATGGAAAGACACACAATCAGATTGACTGCATTTTGATAGACAGGAGAGGGCATTCAAGTGTAATTTATGTCCAGCCTTTCAGGGAAGTGGACTGTGATACTGATCACTGTCTGGTTCTTGCAGTAGTTAGGGACAGAAATTCAGAAGTGTGAAATGTAGAAATTGAGTCTCAAGAAGCTAAACAATGTAAGAAGTAAAGAACAGAACTTTAACGGATGTCATAGGTTTCCTGTGTGTATCACTAGGTAACAGCACAGTCCAGCTTCATGACAGTCTGGGTAGCAAACATTCATGTGCATGTTCAGAGGCTGGTTTCAGTAGTAAAAATGGTTACCATGCTTGAGGAGTGTATCACGAAAGATCAGTTTTCTGTTGTGCATCTTTTGTGGGCAAAATGACTCAGTCCAAAGGATATTCATAAAGAAATATGTCCTATTCATTGGAAAGTGTTTGTCGCATAAAGGGGTTCACAAGCAGGTCAGGAAACATGGCAAACGGTTCACTAATGGTGCAGAAACAAAACAAAAAATACTCCGTGGCCTGTAGTCCGCAAGTGAACTATACCTACCGAGCGACTGCCTCTTGTCGGCGAAGTTAGTGCCAACTTTTGCGGATAGAGGGTGTCACGTGGTCAGCACAATGGATCCCCATGACCGTTAATCTCAGTTTTCTAGATCAGAACCGCTATTTCCTTGAAATAGCTCCTCGATTATCCTCACAAGGCTGAGTGGACCCTGTTCCAGACCCACTACTTCTCAGAAAATCTGGTAGCACCAGGAATCGAACCCGGGACCCCTAATTCACTAATGGTCGCTAATGATGAAGAGGTTAAAACTGAGGTGCTGAAGTGGCTCAGACAACAGTCAAAAGACTTCTCTGCTGCAGGTTTCAGCGCACTGGTCATGCGATGGAACAAGTGTATGAATGTTGGTGGAGGACATGTCAAGAAGCAAATTTTTTCTAGATTCAAACATCACATGTTTTACATTTTATGCCCATTTGTGACCTATTTACAGACTCTCCCTCATATATATGGCTGAGCCATTGTTACCTGAGCATAGTCTCTTTGAGACTTATATTGCTATTGCAAAGTTGAGAAAGTATTGTCATGATTTTAGTGAGTGACAACCAACTCATTTCACTCCACTAATTCCCAGGCTGGCGGCCATCTTACACCAACGTCCTACTATTCTCACTGCTAACGGCAGCTGGCCCTCATTATATAGCCTCATCACGGATTGCACAGAGAGCACTGTTTCCAACAGCTCTCAGGTGTTGCATGCACGTCTGTTATATCCCTATTACCTAGCAAGGGCCATTGTTTACCAAGCTGTTACTTAGCACCAGCTGTTGTGTGGCTGCTTAGTTCATTGTCATTGCCTAGAAACGGTTCTACATGCCACAGTATAAATCATCTGGAATTTAATTCCAGCAGAACTGATTAATGTGGGATGTGAAACATTATGTTCTGAGGTTCATAAAGTCATTAATTCTCTTTGGAATTAGAAAGAATTGCCTCAGTAGGTGAAAGAGTTTATTATACAGGGTGTACCCAAAAGAATGGTGGGATTTCATTGCCGTATATCTCTGTCAGTTTTTGGTGATGAAATGCAAAACATATACAGAATCATAACGTGGCTCCCAAATTTTCATTTTGTATATCACACTCTTTCCTAGTTCCATTTCCAATGGTTAGGCCGCGTGAAATGTAAGATGGTGACCCAGCAGGAGAAGGTCTTATGCGTGCTGCGATTTGAGGTGTCTAAATCCATTGTTGCAGTGCGCCGTGAATTTCGTGTACATTTTCAGAAGGAGGCACCACATGAAAACAGCATTTGCAGATGGTACCGGCAGTTTGTGGACAGTGAATATCTCTGTAAAGGCAAGAGTTCTGGGCGGCCACGTGTGCCACATGCAGACATGGAAAGAGTGAGGGAGATGTATCAGAGAAGCCCAAAAAAATCATTATGAAGAGGAAGCAGAGAATTGCAAATGCCAACAATGACGTGGAGGGTGCTGTGTAAGCGGATATTAATGAAACCGTACAAGTTGCAGCTGTTACAAGCTCTGAAACCACAAGACAAGGTAGCCAGAACTTATTTCACTGAGGACATTCAAGAGAAGATGGAAGACGATGGTTTCGTGGAACGTTTTGTTTTCAGTGATGAAGCCACTTTTCATCTGAGTGGGATAGTTAACCGACACAAAGTACATGTCTGGGGGGACACAAAATCCACATGCACAGATTGAGCACGAGCGTGATTCTCTGAAAATTAACTTCTTCTTTGCTGCCTCTCAACAAAAAGTGTACGGGCCTTTTTTCTTCACTGAAGCAACACCTACCAAGATGCTGGACAATTGGTTGTTTCCACAACTGGCCAATGATTCCAGTGACTACATTTTCCAACAGGACGGTGCTCCCCGACATTTCCTTCGCAATGTGAGAGGTTTCCTTAATCTGGTCCTTCCGCAACGATGGATTGGACATGCTGCAATTGAAGATGCCTCCCTTCTCTGGTGGCCACCCCGGTCTCTGGACATAACTCCATGTGATTTCTTCTTGTGGAAGTACATGAAGGACATGGTTTATGTACCCCTATTGCTCCAATCACTCCAGGATCTCCGAAACAGAATCAGTCATGCTGTGGAAACCATCACACCTGAAATGCTGCAGTGGGTGTGGCAGGAATTTGACTATCACATTGATGTGTGCCGGGTAATGAAAGGTGCGCGCATAGAGGCACATTGATGGATGTGCATAAAATTTTGACAGTTAAACTTCTGATTGACACACGTTATGATTGTACACGATAAGAAATACGAACTATATACGTATCTGAAACCCCACAATTCTTTTAGGAACACCCAGTATTACCAACTCACAAGAAAGGAAATAAAACTAATAATTCTCAAGGTATATCCCTGTTTTCAAGTTCATACATAATTATATCCAATATACTCTCCAGGTTAGTCAGTATTCTTGTAGTGTTGAATCATGTTTGTAGTGCTTTCAAATAGAAATGGAGGGGCTACAGTCACACAAACAAATAACTTTATTAGTAAACTCACATGTGTCAGCCCAGATAGGCCATCATCAGGTGATTCTTGATGCAATACATATAAACTACTCATACGGTGCTAATGTAAAATTTTGTTATATAAAATTGAGTCAGATCTGACTTCATACTATTAGTATATATATTCGTACATCAGACTTTAAACTGAGATTTGTCATACATAATTAAAATTCTAAAAAAATTACACTGAAACAATGCAAGGAGAAGTTACTTCTGAAATGCGTATCTTGGATATTTTTTAAATTGGCCTGAAGGTGGTCAGATCTTCAGGTTTATTTTGAGTTGCAAAAACATCCAAGACCCATGTTTTATAGGGATATTCTCCATGCCTTGTTTCAGTTTAATTGTTTTAAATATTAATCACTTATGTCTAATCTTAATTTAGAATGTATATATGGTATTACATTAGATCTGACTCAATTTTAAATAACAGAATTTTATACCAGCATTGTAGTTTGTATGTATTTTGTGATCCTTTGTGTATTCTTCAAGAATCACCTAACGGACCTATCTGAGCCAAACTTGTTATGAGATGATCAATAAAAACATTTATTTGTGTGATGGTGACCCCTCCATTTTTATTTAAGTCCATACATAGACAAAATTATGGGGAGTCATCAGTGTGGGTTTCAACATAACAGACCAACTACTGATAATTTTTTTTGCATTCATCGGATACTGTATAGAAAATGGGAGTACAGTGAGACAGTACATCAGGTATTCGTAGACTTCAAGAAAGCCTGTGATCCAGTTAGGATGGAAGTATTGTACAGTATGCTCATGGAGTTTGGGGTACCTATGGAACTAATTAGACTGATTAAAATGTGTTTAATTGAAACCCATAATAAAGTATATTTAAGTAAACATTTGCCTGATACATTTCCTATTCAAAATGATCTAAAACAGGAAGGTACTTCACTGCCATTCCTTTTCAAGTTTGTTTTAGAATACACCATTAGGAACGTCCAAGAAAATGGGACTGAAATTGAATGGGACACAGCAGCTTCTAATCTAAGCTGATGACGTAAATCTGTTGGTTAATGACTTAATACCATAGAGAAAAACGTAGAAGCTCTTAACCTATGATCATAAGGAATTTGGTCTAGAAGTGAACATAGAGAAATCAAAGTATATGTTGATGTCGTGTCACCAGAATGCAGGGCAAAATCATAACATAAAAATATCCTTTGAAACATTTGCAAAGTTCAGATATTTTGGGACAGTGTTAAAAATCAAAATTTAATTCATGTTGAAAATAAGTAAAGTAAAGTAAGTAAAACCATCCCTGTAACAGACCGTGAAGGCCCATAGGGTTGTGAGACGTTGAGGGTCCCACATTATCTAGACAATTGGCTCAAAGATGGCAGTAAGGTTGTCAGCCTTATGTTCTGGCCGCGCTTTACTTCTCAGGAAAATTATTTAATTAATTCCTGGTACTCATTTCTGTTAGAGGCTGAGTCAACCTCAGGGCCATAGTGCAGCCAGAAGGATAAGGTAAATTGGAAAAAAATCCAATGACCTCATCGGGACTTGAACCCGCAACCTTCCAGCTCGTAGCATAGTCCCAGTAGTTTCAATTTGGATAATGCTTCCTGCCACCCAGTTCAGAGCCTTATCTTCTTGTGTGATGTCTAAAAATATAAAAGTTAAAATACACAAAACTGTGATTTTCACTGTAGTTTTGTATGGGTGTGAAACTCGGTCTCTCATGTTAAAAGAGGAACATAGACCAAGGGTACTTGAGAACAGGGTGCTGAGGAGAACATTGGGACCAAAAAAAAGATGAAGTGACAGGAGGTTGCAAAAAAAGACTGCATATGTATAGTGTTTTCTTGGGAATTCAAGAAGGAACAAGAACACTAGGAAGATGTAGACATGGGTGGGAGGATAATATTAAGGTGGATGTTAGAGAAATAGGGTTGGATGTTATGGACTGGATGAGTGGAGGGCTGTCATTAACGTGGTAATGAATATTTGTGTTCCTTGAAATGTTGGGAAATTCTTGAGTACCATACTTGCAAGTATGGAATCTCAGAATGTGTTTTATTCAAAATCACATTTAAAGTGGAGCTCATGCTAACATCAAACCACATTTTCCAAAAATTTGTTTTGATGGACATGGTATGCTGATGTGATGATTTATTAACACTGTTTATCTTGCTGCCATCTTAGTTTATGTTAGTGACATGTGTCAATTTTATAGGAAGTTCCCTTGATGAAGGAACAGCAATTGTTGATGGTTACAACTCATACTATGGATTTCCAAGGAGCAAAAGTGGTTATTCAGGTAAAGTGAAAGTCCTCTTTTTGACATATTTCATTAAATTCTGACCTTATTCTGTTCTAATAACGTAATGAAATGTAAAAGACATAATTAATATTTTTCTTCTTGAAGGCGTGGCAACATACTGTAAGAATGCTTTTACTCCATTTCGAGCAGAAGAAGGTTTGTCAGGCCTCTTTGCTTCCTCTGATGCTATGGATAGTGTTGGTTGCTATGGCAGCATTAGAGCAGAATTCTCAAAGATGGAACTTAAAGAACTGGATTTTGAAGGACGAGCTGTCATTACCCAGCATAAAATTAGAGTGAGTTATGTCACATTAATATGTCTTTTCAAGTCATTTTGTAGCTGAACCTTGGATGTTTACATTTTGAAACAATTGCATTATTAGCTATTTGATGAATTCTACTTTATACTTTCAGCTCTCCCCTTGAACATTTTGTGATATAATTTTAATATATTTCATGAATAATGCAGTTGTCCCAATTTTAATTAGTTGTATTCATAGCCACGGGGCAGTACAGTACCTCTAATGATGACAGCCATGTTTCACAAAATTCCAGAAGGTGTTGTCACCTGTTTTATATACTAACTCTCTCTTAACCCAGTGTTCAATATTAGTACCAAGGTAACCTGTCAGTATGCCCAGTTCTGAACCAACTCAACCACCTCCTCAACATTTTGATGGCTGTCCTTACTTGAATGCTTCTCTTTATCAACTCTGAGTTTGAATTGCAGATGCTGTTTATGAATATTTAAAATACCTAACACATGAGAGCAAAATAACTGATTTCATGGAGCTCAACCATTCCGCAGAAGTCACCAATTGTGCATCTACTCGAGAACTACCCAGCAATTTATGGGGCCCAAAGGTTCATTACCATGTTCACAACAGCCATCCACTGGTCTCTGCTGCCCTCAGCCAGATCAGACCAGTCCATAGCAGCCCATCCTATTTTTCTAAGCTCCATTAAAATATTATCCTACCACCTACATCTAGGTCTCCCTAGCAGTCTCTTTCCTTGTGGCTTTCCTACCAAAATCCTATAAGCATTCAGCTTTGACCCCCATGCTTTCTACATGTCCTACCCATCACATCCTTGACTTTATCACTTTAATTATACATGGCAAATAGTACATGTTATGTGGCTCCTCATGTAGGTTTCTCCAACCTCCCATCACTTCATCTCTCTTCAGTCAAATATCCTCTCTTCTTGAACACCCTCAGTCTATGTCCTGACCTTAATGTCAGAGACCAAGTTCCACTCCTACACAGAACCACAGACAAAATTATAGTTTTGTGTATTCAGATTTTTACGTTTTTAGACAGCAGACACAAAGACAAAAGGTTCTGGACTGAATGCGAGCAAATTCAGACTTCTCTTAATTCCTTCCTGAATAAAGTTTTGAATTTTACTGTCATTCTCAAATAACTGAACTGTGATATAGTTTCAAAGGATCTGTTACCTATCTTTAGTCATGATTTTGCCCTGCATTTTTGTGACAAGACAGCAATATATACTTAGTTTTCTCTGTGTTTACTTCTAGCCCAACCTCCTTACTAGTGTCAATTAAAGTTTGTGTGTTTTTCTTTATGGTATCTACATTATCACCCAGTAGATTCACATCATCGTCATAGGCCAACAGCTGATGTATCCTGCTTAATTTCAGTCCCACCTGGTTTCCCTAGACCTTCCTAATGGCATATTCTAAAGCAAAGTTGAAAGGTAGTGGTGAGAAAGCATCTCCTTGTTATAGACCATTCTGTATAGGGAAATTATCAGACAAAAGTTTACCTATACAGACTTTACCATACGTTTCACTTAAACACATTTTAATCAGCTTAACTAGTTTCATGGGTATCCCAAACTCTTATCAGAATATTGTACAATACTTCCCTCCTAACTAAATCATAGGCTTTCTTGGAATCTACAAATAACTGATGTACTGTCTCATTGTACTCCCATTTTTTTCTCCAATAGCTGATGAATGCAAAAGATCTCATCTGTAGTTGAATTCTTACGTTGAAACCCACACTGATGATCCCCAATAATTTCATCTGTGTATGGACTTAACTTTGAGAGAAGAATATTGGATAAAATTTTGTGTGAAGTTGATAGCATTGATATCCCCCTATAATTACTACAGTCAGTTTTATCACCCTTCTTGTGAACTGGTACAGTGATAGACTCCTTCCACTGATCAGGCAATTCTTCCTTATGCCAAATAGAACTAATTAGATTGTGGATCTTAGAACGTAATATGTTGCCTCCTGCTTGAATAAGTTCTGCCAGAATTTGATGAATAGCTGGCGATATATACTGCTTCAATTTTGCAATAGCCCTTTCAGCCTCAAAAGGGCTCGGACCAGGGACTAACGGCTCAGCTGTATGGATTTCTGTCCGCCTAACATCACTGACCCTATCTACATTCAGTAACTGAGAGAAGTATTTTTTCCCACCTGTCCTAAATGTGGGAATCTGCAAGCAGATCACCATTCTCACCCTTCACTTAGTTACTTCTAGGTTGGTAACCCCTCTTATAGTCATTTTATTCCTCTCTTCAGGTCTTTAATGTTCTTGTTCTTACTGTTCAATGCAAGCTCATCAATTTTGTCTTTCGGATATTCCCTCTTTTTATTCCTGAAATGCCTGCTGGTTTAACGTCTTATATTGTTCAGAATATCCCTATTTATTTCACTTTGATCCTGTAACTATGGCTTCTTTTCTTTGGTCTAGTAATTTTGAGCATCCTTCATTGAACCATGGCGTGTGCTTCTTCAGTTCATAATAACCTAGACTCTCTTTGGCAGAAATTTTGATATTCTGTCTTATAGTTTCCAGATTCTTAAAACATCCACCTCAGTGGCCAAGGTTTCCAAGGCTGCGAACCTATTTGAGATTTCAGCATGATACTGCTCTTTACCCTCTACCTCATTTAATTTCTTGAGATTGTACCTCTTCATATGAACTCTGTGCATTGTTTGTTTGCTCACTGCCAGTCTTTCCCTAACCTTTGCCACCACCAGGTAGTGGTCAGTATCACAATCTGCTGCCCAGAATGATCTGACATCAAGTATACTTGAATGCCATCTCCTATCTATCAAAATATGGTCAATCTGATTGTGTATCTTCCCATCAGCAGTAGTATTATATATGATATCTTATCACCAATGAACTGTACCCTCTTAACTGCTGATACAGTTATCTTATGTAAGAAGAAACCTGTACCTAATTCATGATTTTCATTCCCCTTTCCATAGAGAAATATATATTTGCCTGATGGTGCAATGCCACTTCTGTCCCATCTGACCTCCTGTACCCCCACTAAATCTACTTCGAACATTCCATGTACCAAATCTCATATCCATTTTCTTTAGCTTAGGTCATTTATCCAAGGAATCCATCCAGGTCCACGGCTTCTTGAGAATTTTTGTAAGAAGTTTATTTTTACCGTGAGAGTTGTTAGCCCCATGCCTAACCCCAAAGCTGGATGGCCACCCCTTGTCGGCTGTCTGCGACTGCTTATTCAATATATTCGCAGCTTCCCTCCATACCTGGAGTGCATCTCCTCCATCAGCAACCTGAGGACACACCATGCCGTGGTGACAAGGGACGTGCCTAACATGGATGATTTACTCGAAGGAAAGATAATGTTAAGTAATTTTTTTACTGGCAGGGAGTGGTACACTGTTGCTTTATTCATAATGGTATTACAGTCAGAGGGATACGTACAAGGAGATTTCTCCTGATGTACAGGAGGAAATTACCCGAATTGTCTCAGGACTTTAGTAGCTGAAGACCTGGTACTTCTGGATTACAGTGTCCTGCTGGATGTTGCTTGTTTAGCAGCAGCAGCTCATTGAGCAACCCGCTGTACTCTCCTGATCTCGCTCTATGTGATTTATACCTCATCTCAAGGATGGACTCACTGATGGTCAGCCATATTAAGATTGTGACAATTTCATGGCTTCAGAGTTTGTATTCCAGCAGAGTGTGTACGGTGCCTTCTAGAAATGTTTTGAGTAATTGTATGAATGCTGTCAGAAGTAGCTATTGAGGGACAGTTTTTTAAAACATCTGCTTCCATGGGCTTCTTATTGCCACCAGATTCAAAATACAACCCCTGCCCTAGAACCTTTTGAAAATATTACATATATTCATACAGATATTGTGACAAGAGATCTAAGATTTTTGTGTGTATATTTATTTTAAATGAAGAAAAAATGGCAAACAGACTGCATAAAACCTTATTGTAGTCTGTCACATTTCTTTAACCCAAGTAATATTTCCTGAATTGTACATATTTGGAGAGGATCGTATTGTTCTTTTGGTGAGAAAAGACTGGGAAAAGTCATGTGGACATCGCTGGTGATCCCCTGTATTGTACCATTCAGGTGAGGACAATTTCCTTTCAGGTTTTGAGCACCACAGTATCTGGGAGATTGCTCTTAAATTTCTTTTTGTGAATGTTTCTGAACAGAGAAAATGTAGGCATCCTCAACAATTGCTTTATTACTCCTTTAAGAAAACCAGTTTTACCTTCACATTTCTTCTTGACCTGTTCGCATCGAAGTTGTTTCTGTCAAACCATGTTCTTTCCTTGATTTGTTGTTTCAGCAGATAAATGTATGGCTTATTGCATTAGTTTCTCAAGGCAAGGCACTTTTCCTTATCTAATGAAATCTGTGCATTTTCTGACTTACACAGATGTCCGATTCAGAAGAGAAAACACTGACAATTGTCAATGTTTACTGTCCACGAGCTGATCTGGACAATGCAAAAAGGCTCCAAGTCAAGCTGAGATTTTATCATCTTCTTGAAATTCGAACAAGGGCTCTGTTGGAATCTGGCAGCTTTGTAATTATAGTTGGTGATATAAACACATGTCACAAGCCCATTGATCACTGTGATCCATCAGATGTGGTAAGTTTTTAAGCGTTGTCATTGATAAATGTAACTTAGCATATCTGTGATGATCTTGGATAAGAAAAACAAATGCAAATCCTTTAAATGTGAGTATGCTAGACCAAACCAAAACAGAACCCATGGATTGGTTCTTATGCACAGAATATTGTCACCTGATTGGTGACTATAGACAGGTTTTGGATCGGTAAATGGATTTATTGTACACTTACACCTCAGAATTACAAGTAACTATAATGCAGCATAAATCACTATAACTCACACTAGTCTTCTCAGATTGTTACAACCTCCACTAGTTGTGTGGTCACAGTCATCTTACACATGCTATTCCTCACGCCCTTATGGCTCACAAACTGCAATTCGTAAGTGCTGACTCAAGACTTGTGACTATTATGACTGCACTTTACAAATCATTGTCACACACAGACTAGTGTTCCCAGTCAGTCCTCACTGTTGCTGGGTAACATCTTCCAGCAGTGGAAGTACCTCTGCTCCCTGGCTCAAGTCTTCACAGGCTGGTGTCTATCTCACAACAAGACTTAACTGGCTTGTCCCATTGGTCCTCATGATATAGCCTCATGACTGATCCAGCAGAAAACACCACTTCAGTAGTTCTGTTGTTGCATGACATAGCTATTGGTGCAGACTGCATAGAAAATCCCATTCCCAGCACTACTTCTGTTTGTTATGTTGTGCAGCATGATGTATTCCATTGTTACATCACTATATTTTGTGCCATTGCCTAGCAACATGCCTTGGCTTTCAGCAAATATTTCACAACATGTTCACATTGCTTGTTTTTCTGTGTACCGTAGTGATTTACAGGATAGATAAAGGCATGCTGCTTGTGATATTTTACTGCATAACTGTATTGGAAACAGCACAGGCCTTTCCCTACATGAGGCAATGACTCTCATCTCATTCTCTACATATGTAGACCTTTGTAACCACTTACTGTAAAAATGTGACAGACTTACCATATTTTGTAAGAACTGCTGGAATTACACCCTGATGCCCTCATGTATGCCTGACAGTCAGTAAACCAGTTTTTTCATAACTTCTGAAGTTCGTCCTTGGAACTGAAGCAGTTATGTGTGTCACTTCATTCTTGAGGGCTTTGGCAGCGTGAAGGTTCCTCTTGTACACTTTTCCCTTCAAATTAATTATTCTGTTGAAGTTCTTCATAGTCACCGCCGTGAAAGCCTCAAATCTTACATGATTATTCTGTTCTCAAAAACCTCACATGTAACAGCCATGGACTTGTTAGCAGTATGTGCATTACCTTATTGGAAATGCTCATATTGTGCCTCTTCAGTTGTTGGTCAAAGAATGGATTCAATATATTCATGTTCCAATCTGAATTTACAGTTTGCTGAAAGGATATTGAGTCAGTGACTCAACACACATTTGCAGCCCACCATAGCCACACTTTTACACTGTGTAATGACAGTTGTTCAGTGGCATTCAGATTTTCTTTGCTGCATATTCATGCATTCTGCATATTAACATGGCCATGAGGGTAAACCCATGATTCATTGGTTTTGAGCAGCAGCAGCTGTGGATCCACATCTCTGTCATGCACATTTTGCAGTAACCAGTTACAATTCTTGCTTCATAATTGTGTTGTTTAAGCTCATGCATGGCCGTTAGTTTATACTGCGAAGTTTATTTTGTGCCTTCGATCATAGATCCCAGTGGAACACTGGTTTCTTTTGACAGGGGTCTTAACAATTTGCAGCTGTTGGTGTCTGACTGTGTCTGAGTATCTTGAACTCCTTCCTCCGTTTTCATATTCCTTGTGGATTGTTTTTTTTTCTCACAATGAAACAGTGGTCCACCACTGTTTAACAAGCTTCACTATACAGAACTCTGTGATAAGCCATTTTTATAGTTGTTTATGAGTGATCCTCCAGACACGTTGTATACATTTTCTTTCTTATGAAGGATTTGACTATGAAAAGTCAGTGGTGAGTCATGTAACATATTGCATTGCAGGAGTTGAGAGACTTTAACACAAAGAGATCTAAGCAAGCTATGCAGAGATCACAGCAAAAATATCTGTTGTATTCATGCTGTTGCTGGTCACATCTGCATGGTGTCTCTGACCCACCATAAACATTTTTTTATGATAAATTTAACATTATGTCCTTGTATTTTCCACTCATAAATTATATTTCAAAGTGTGTATCTAATTCTCCATGAAAACAGAATTATTTGGTGATATTTTCCTTCTCCCCTCTTTTTTTTTGGGGGGGGGGCACTTCATCCCAAAGGAGTCCTTATGTGTAAAATATTGAAGTATGCCAGGATAGAACTATATTGACACTTGTCATTAGTAAATATCTGTAGATCTAATTCATGAATTAGTAAACTTGCAGACCTGTAGGAAGCTTTGAAGTTAATGTGATTTTTAAACTTAGGCGTTAAAAACTGAACTGACACAAGCATTATGTCATAAAGGATGAACTTTTGAAACCCCTACTGTTATTGACTTGCTTGGGAACATATCAGGAAGTTGTATTCTTACTGGAACATACATTCCTTTATGAAGCATTGCCAAATTATTGGGGATCATCAGTATGGGTTTCAACATTACAGATCAACTACTAATCAGACCTTTCGCATTCGTCAGATACTGAAAAAAAAATGGGAGTACAGTGAGACAGTACATCAGCTATTCATAGACTTCAATAAAAGCCTATGATTCAGTTAGGAGGGAAGTGTTGTACAATATTCTGATAAGAGTTTGTGTACCCATGAAACTGGTTAAGCTGTTTAAAATGTGTTTAAATGAAACTTATGGTAAAGTCCGTATAGGTAAATATTTGTCTGATAAATTTCCCTATCCAGAATGGTCTAAAACAAGGAGATGCTTTATCGCCACTCCTTTTCAACTTTGCTTTACAACATGCCATTAGGAAGGTCCAGGAAAACCAGGTGGGACTGAAATTAAGTGGGACACATCAGTTGTTGGTCTATACTGATGATGTGAACCTACTGGGTGATAATATAGATACCATAAAGAAAAACACACAAACTTTTATCGACACTAGTAAGGAGGTTGGGCTAGAAGTAAACACAGAGAAAACTAAGCATACGAGGGGGTACCCAAAAGAAACTGAACTTATTTTTTTTTTAACTTATTTATTCAAATTTTAAGCACAAACCTTCAATCCCCTTCAAAGTACTCTCCACTTACACTAATACACTTGTCTAGTCTTTTATTCCATTTTTCAAAACATTGTCTAAATTCATCTTTTGAGATGCTTGACAGCGCCTCCGTCGTTTTTTCCTTCACCTCAGCAACATCAGCAAAACGCTTTCCTTTCATGTCTCTTTTCATTCGAGGAAACAAAAAAAAGTTGCACGGGGCAAGGTCGGGTGAGTATGGAGGGTGAGGAACAGGGGTCATACCATTTTTGGTCAAGAATTGTCATACAGACAGGGCTGTGTGAGCAGGGGCATTGTCATGATGGAAAAACCAGTCACCCGACTGCCACAAATCTGGCCGCTGAGCTCCAAGTCACTCCCGACAGCTCCACAATTTCTTCAATGGTCCACCGTCGATCTTCCTTGATGATTTCACGAATTTTTTCAACATTTTCATGTGTTCGGGCCGTGGAAGGACGACCAGAACAAGGTTTGTCATCAATTGACATTTCACCATTTTTGAAACGGGAAAACCACTCAAACACTTGAGTTTTCCCCATAGCATCGTACTTGTACGCCGTTTTTAACATTCCAAGAGTTTCTGTTCCACTTTTCCCGAGCAAAAAGCAGACTTTCACCGCTGCACGCTGTTCACGAAAATCAGCTATTGCAAAACGACGATCACAGAAAACAGTTGTCACTATAAACTCTGCTGAAACTATTCCTTACCTTCTGAAGCAACGGTAGTCGGCTTATCGACTCAGGAATGTTAGCTCTATGCGCTCATAGCGGCAAAACGCGGTACTACAAAAGCTCTGTCCACAAAAAAATTAGTTCTGTTTCTTTTGGGTACCCCATCCTATGTTGCTGTCTTGTCACAGAAATGCAGGGCAAAATCATGACATAAAGATAGGTAACAGATCTTCTGAAAATGTGACACAGTTCAGATATTTCGGAACGACCATAACAAATGAAAAGCTGATTGAGGAGGAAATTAAGAGGAGATTGAACTTGGGTAATGTTTGCTACCATTCAGTCCAGAACCTTATGTCTTCTCATCTGCTGTCTAAAAACATAAAAATTAGAATATACAAAACCATAATTTTGCCTGTGGTTCTGTATGGGTGTGGAACTTGGTCTCTGACATTAAGGGAGAGACATAGATTGAGGGGGTTTGACAANCTGTCCACAAAAAAATTAGTTCTGTTTCTTTTGGGTACCCCATCCTATGTTGCTGTCTTGTCACAGAAATGCAGGGCAAAATCATGACATAAAGATAGGTAACAGATCTTCTGAAAATGTGACACAGTTCAGATATTTCGGAACGACCATAACAAATGAAAAGCTGATTGAGGAGGAAATTAAGAGGAGATTGAACTTGGGTAATGTTTGCTACCATTCAGTCCAGAACCTTATGTCTTCTCATCTGCTGTCTAAAAACATAAAAATTAGAATATACAAAACCATAATTTTGCCTGTGGTTCTGTATGGGTGTGGAACTTGGTCTCTGACATTAAGGGAGAGACATAGATTGAGGGGGTTTGACAACAGGATGTTTCGGAGAATATTTGGACTGAAGAGAGATGAAGTGACAGGAGGTTGGAGAAAACTGCATAATGAGGAGCTTCATAACTTGTTCTCTTCTCCAAGTATGATTAGGAGGAGGGTGAGATGGGCAGGGCGTGTAGCACGAATGGGGGAGAAGAAGAAGAAGAATGCATCTAGGATATTGGTGGGAAAGCAAGGTGGGAAGAGACCAGTATGAAGACCAAGACATAGGTGGGTGGACAATATTAAAATGGATCTTGGAGAGATAGGATGGAATGGTATGGATTGGATTGATCTGGCTCAAGGCCGAGACCAGTGGAAGGCTCTTGTGAACACAGTAATGAACCTTTGGGTTCCATAAAATGCTGGGAAGTTCTTGAGTAGCTGCACATTTGGTGGCTTCTCAAGAAGGCCTCAACTCCAAGAGTGAGTGATGAAGCATTGCCACTCTTCCATGAAAATATCATACAGAGTTGTTCATTACAACAGATTTGGACTTCTTATTAGTGCGTTGGCTTCAGAAATACTGGCCACTGCCAAGATGGTTGCACTAAACAGAAATGGATTCCTGAAAAGTCCCTGAATGAGAATTCATCTGCAGTTTAAAATTTTATCTGCAAAAGAGGAATCGTTCTTGCAGGGATCATAGAGCAGCTGTTGAAAGTGGTGTCCTGCAATATTCAAACATTTCCAAGTGATGCCATATGACAATAGTTGAAGTTTTCTGTTATATTTGTACTGACGTACACAATTTTTATTTCTTAGGTTTGAAAGTGATGTGTTTTGTTTATGTAAGCATGAAGTTTCCCAAAAGATATGATTATTTGTTTATTGAACATGCCAGTAAAGCTTTCATTGTATTTTATATGATGTGTGCATTTGTGCATTGTCTACTGCAAACATGTAAAACTGTTTTCTTTTTCTTCATTCATGTTCAAAATATAGTGCAAGAATATTCACACAACACCTCTAGAGTGTTTCCTGGTAGCGCATGCTTTGGATGATTGTACATTTTTATTTGCAATGAACTGGGTGTCATGTCACATTTTTGTTATCTGTGGTGGAATGAATATTCTCCCTATGTGACCATCTGTGCAGTGTCCATAATTTTCCAGATTACACGTCTGGTAAGAAGACTTATGGCTTGCTCTGTATTTCAAAAGTCACAAACCCTCACTTTGATGTGCTAGTGCTGTTGGTCTTTTCCAAATTTTGTTTTATGATTTGAAATAATTTTCTTATATAATTCAGAATTTAGAGCAGTGGTAACTGTTGAACATTTTTGAGAGATGTAGTGTTTTATCACAAATTATGGCTGTTCCTAAGACCTTTTGATGCTTCTATCATTCTATCCCGAAGAATGCTAGTATAGTACCATCCCATAATGGACTTCCATCCTTCCTCATCTGTTTTTCTACAGAGCTGCTTTCTCTTTTGGTTACAACTGGTCTTGAATAACATCGGTATCACCTGTGTTTGGTAACACCTGATGATACTAGTTAGGGATTGAACAAAATAATGGAAACACTACAGATGCTGTACACATTTCATTATTAATATGTATGAATGTATGGGGGGTAGGCCTTCTTGACCCTAACCGCGACCTACAGTGGTCTGTTGTGCTTCCTTTATTAATATGGTGTTGGACCACCTTTTGCCTTCACTACAGCTGCAGTCCTTCTTGGAATGAACTCATGCAAGTTTTGAACAGCCTCCAGCAGAATTTTATACCATTCTTCTTGAAGAACATATTCAAATTGCTTTAGAGGTGTTGGAGGTGGGAATCTGTTCCTCACTCTAGTCTCCAAAACTGATCAGAGTGGTTCAGTGGTGTTTAGATGTGGTGATTGCTGGCCAGGGAAGATGTTAAAATTCACCTTCATGCATATCAAACCATGATTGAACAGTTCCAGCTGTGTTAATGTGGGTATTGGTGTCTTCGAAAACTCCATCGTTTGGAAATAACATCTGGATCATCAGATGCACGTGATTACGCAACTTGCCCTCGTACCTGCTTGCACTAATTCGGCCATGAAGGATAATGATGTGGCCAACAGAATACTGTACGACAGAACTGCTGCCAAACCATCACAGAACTTCCCCCATGTTTCGCTGTTGGAACCAGGAATTCCAGATGATATGCTTCCTTGGGTGTTCTCCAAACATAAACTTTTTCTATGAAGGGAACAGTGTGAAGGATGACTTACCTGACCATATCATATGCATTTTCAGTTGTCTCATGTCCAGGTTTAAGGTTGTGACACCATCTTTTACGCATCTGAGCATTACTTTCAGTAATCAGAGCTTTAGTACTGGCACCCTTACCATGGATTTTTAGATTTGTGAAGCTCATGTCAGACAATTTTTGTGGAAACAGAGTCTTCAAGATGAATATTCAGTTCTGCTGACACCTATTTTGCAGCAGTTGTGTGATTTTTCGAAACAGTCCTTCTCAGTGTACGACATTTTCTTTCTGTCAGTGTTGATTTTTGACCACTGATCCTCTTCACTGGTGTTATCTTCTCATGATTCGTGTATGCCGACGTAAACTTAGAAATTGTCAGTCTCAATATGAGTATTATTGTGGCAGGTTTTGTCACAAACGCTTTGCCGAACACACACCAAGAATCTATCCTCTTTCAAAGTTGAACAAGTCTCCAATTTTCTGATTGTTTCAAATGGAGTGTCACTCAACACAATCACTAATGCATGGACATGAGAGCACTGCAGAGTGTAAACAAATGAAATAAGAACTTTCAGTGTTGCCAGCTGAAGTGCTCTCATTGTAGCCAACTCAGATTCTGTTCTTCATTTTTTTAGTATTTCCATTATTTTGTCCTCTCCCTTTGAATGCACATTTACACAGTTGACGTTCGTGGATGACACACCACAGTTGAAAACAGTAGTAGATAGATTGAATCATTTCATAATTAAAGTGTTCACATGCTTCTGTTCGATGTACACAGGATTAACAGCTTGTTCTTTGTAGTGGAAGTTGTCCCTATAATGGTTTTCAGCCAGGATCATATCCTTACCTTAACTGCTGTCAGAATGTTATTACTTTTATAAAGAATAATTGAATCCTGCAAACTATGTGCATCATTTTATTCTTATGTATTTTTATTCTAATATAGCATCATATTTATGAGTTAACATAAATGCCACAATTTTTACAGGAGGAGTTCAACAAGAATCCATGTCGCATGTGGTTGAGTCGTATAATATATGATCCAAGTTCGGAGGAAAATACAAATAATGTGAATATGAGCTCATTTAGTTTGATTGATGCATTCCGCTTTGTAAATCCTGAAGAAGAAAATGCCTTTACCTGTTGGTGCACCCGGTTAAATGCCCGATCCACAAATTATGGAACTCGAATAGACTATATTCTAATTGACCAGAGACTTGGAGGTGAAATAGATGACTGTGTCATACTCAAGGATGTGCTTGGAAGTGATCATTGTCCTGTTAAAGCTGTCATTGATTTAAAATTTGTCAGAGCACCAAAATGTCCTTCATTTTGTACAAAATACTATCAAGAATTTTCTGGCACTCAGAAAAAGTTATCTGAATTTTTCAGCAATGAATCCTCCAATCAGGAACTTTGCATGGGCACTACATTAAGTTGTAAATATGATACATCGGTAGCATCTGTTAAACGCAAGATGTTGGATACTAAAGTAAAACACAAGAGGTCAAAGAGTGATACAAGAAAGCAGAAGGGAATCACAAATTATTTTCAGCTCTTGCCATCTGGAACTCAAATTAGGGACTCTTGTGGAAGTGCTGATTTGGATGATCAAGGTTCTGGTAATAGATCAAGCCTGGAATCACTGAGTTTTTTGGGTGAAGTCTCTCCAGATACTTTTGAATCTACATCTTTTGAACCACTTGCCGTCCATGATGAACAGAGTAGTGTGGATATGGCAGAAGAAAAATTTCCAACTACCATGTTTAACGACATTGTAGGACAACAAAGTTTTTGCACTGCTGCAGGACCTGAAAAGAAAGCAGCGTCTGATTTATGGAGAAGTATGCTTACTGGACCAAAGCCGCCTCCAAAGTGCAAAGGTCACAGGGAGCCCTGCGTTCAGAGGTGTGTAAAAAAGAAAGGACCAAATTTCGGTCATAAGTTTTGGGTTTGTGCAAGAGGTGAAGGGCGTAGCAACGACCCATCTGCAAGATGTGATTACTTCCTGTGGGATTCGAAGAGGTAAAGAATATAGTTGTGTTATGTATGCATGTTTATCCCATTGAATAATATGTGATTTGGGAGCCATGATTGCAAATATGTCTTTACATATGAAAACGGTTTTTAATTAAAGTTTTTATATGGTACTTGCTGTACCCTGTGTACTTGGAACGGGAGGTCGTTGTAGCATGGACATATTATGAGTAATATGCAGGTCCAACTTACGCCCCACAGTTCTGCTACTGTTTTAGCACTTTGGAATGGGTTTTTCTTATACCATTAAGATTACAGTATTAAGATGTGACACCGTGATGTAGTTCAGTATATAGGCAACCTGCTGCCTCCATCTTCAGGGTAGAAGATTAGGCCTTGTAGAAAAAAAGTGGTATGGATGTAGGGAAGGGAGAATCAGTAAGATGTCCTGTAGCCATACCATTTTTTTCACCACAGTTTTTGGTTTTCTGCCCTGAAGTTGGAGGCACCAAGTTTGTTCAGAATGTTGGTAACCATTACCATATTGCATGGTGTCACATCGCAGAAGACCATAATATTAATATTAACTTCTGTCAGAATATCAAATATTTTTATAACTTGATTTCAGGAGACTGTTTCATCAGTGTACTTGTATTATTTGCATGTTTTAAATGTCTGGTACTTGTGAATAAAGATTTATGAGCAAGACTGAGTCTGCATTTTATGTATACATGATTCTTTGGTCTCTGTGATACAATACCTGCAATTAAATCTATCTCTTTAATTGCTCTAATTGTAGGTACATATGAAAAAATTACTGTATCTTTGTGAGCACCCTGCTAGGCTCCCTACTGCATTCATGGTATGTAATATACAGAGTCAACCCTACAGGCTGGATCACAAAGTAACGGCCGATCCTTGTTTGACTGGGTATTCCAAGATGTTCTGGATAGTGGTCAGGTAGCTCGAATTTTTTTGTAAGCCGGAAGGTCGCGGGTTCAACTCCCGATGAGGTCATTGGATTTTTTTTTCAATTGACGTAATCCTTCCAGCCACACTAGGCCCTGGGGTTTACTCAGACTCTAACAGAAATGAGTACCAGGAATTAATTAAATAATTTTCCTGGGGAGTAAAGCGCGGCCGGCGCGTAAGGCTGACAACCTTACCGCCATCTATGAGTCGTTTGTCTAGATAATGTGGGACCCTCAACGTCTCACAACCCTATGGGCCTTCACGGCTTGGTACGGGGATAGCTTTACTTTTTTTTTTACTTTTTATCATCCGTTTTACCTAATGAGGAATCCAAAGATTTTTTATTTAGACATTTTTCATTATCTTTACACAAATAAAAAGATCATGAAACCAATTACATGCGGAATTTGCGTAAATCGGATACCTGTGCTTCGGTTTATTGAAGCTACTTTCTCGGTATTTACTTTGGGGTTAGAGGAAAAGTGCGAGCCACTTTTGTATAGTTGGTGCGCCGATCTACTTCTGCACTATGTACAGTGGAAAGAAGAACGCGTGTCTGTTGGTCAAACAAAATATTGTACCTACAACTACAAGAATGAACGACACAGTGAGAGGTGATAAAAGTTAGAAAATCTTTCTCAGCTCATCGTGTTCGACCGTTTGTGATCACTTCTACCCTCCGGATCTTGAAATCGGGAGGTTTCTGTGGCAGGCTGATGGCTATGAGGTGTGTAGTGTGACTTACAATTAAATACAAATATATTATTATGTACTAATAACCGTGAGGTGATAGGTATTTACATAACAAGGAAGTCATTTGTCAAATAATTGATTCGAGATTCCAATGCACGTTTGCTATAACATAGTGTGTATGTGTGTCAGACAAATGTTGCCCACCTCACGTGCCGCTCAATAGTAGGTCACCAGTTGCGGGCAGCGGTTTGTTCGAGGTGTGCTGTCTGATCTACACTAACGCGCCCACTTCAGCCCAGCTTCAAAGGAAGAACAAACTCTGACCTGTGAGTCAGTTACGTGATGGTATACGGAAGAAGACGGACCCAGTGCTCAAGAAAGAATTTTGTTTGTGATACGTCATCAGAGTGAGAATAACGTACCGGACTGTCCTCTGTATTTGTACAGGAAAGTGCAGAATATTCTGTCACCGCCATTGGAACAAGCGACGAAGCAAACGTTTGTATTATTGAAATTATTCGTACGTATTGTGCCCTGGTTAATAAGGTGTATGATTTTTATTTAACGAGGGGGCGAAGTTGTGCTCAATTATTAGAAATTAATTATAAGTTTTCTAAAAGAAAAGTAATGCATTAGGTGAACCACCGGATGGCTGGCCGGAAACGTGAGATCAAAGCGTACGGTATTTATTAATGAGTGCTTACGAATCAGTTGAACGACGCACTGCCAAGTCTTGCTTTAGTACGACAGGTCATCGGCCAATAGGAGTTTGCCTACTTTAGGGTTACAAATGAGCGATATTTTCACGAGTTGCGAGAATGTTGAATCTGGGGGCTCGGACGGGAGGAGCCGTTAGCAGTTGGATTCGAGCTGCCGCTCGGAATGATCGGTTTTGAGAAATCGTTTGGGGAGGAAGCTCCTCCCGCAGAACCCATGCTAGGAAGGAGACGGGATGGCTTCCAGTGTCTTCATATCGCCCTCTTTTGTAAGCGTGAGTAATTTGGCTGTACAGTGGAATCTCGCTTAACGAGCATAATTCGTTCCAGGATCTTACTCGTAATGCGAAACATTCGTTAAGCGAAACAATTTTTCCCATATAAATTAATGTAAAATACGATAATGCGTTCCATGCCGAAAAAAATACTCAAAAAATTTATGTATAACATTTATTCAAAGAAAATTACATATACATTGTTAAGGAGCGTGAATCATCATCTTTTCTTCTATGCGGAATGGACCAACCTGGAATGCGAATTCGATTTGCAGAAAACAAAAAAAAAATCTAAATAATTAGTTGTTGTTTATGATACATATCTAATTCTTTTTTACTAGAAAGCTGTCTAGAGACATTTGTTTTTGCCGACACTTCAAAATTTGGTGAAAATGCGACACAGCATTAGCATTAAATAAATTTGTAGCGCGCATAGCCACTGTCTTATTAGGGTGATGCTTGTCAATGTACGATTCAACAGTTTCCCATGCTTTCAGCATTTCTCTTATTGCGCCAGAAGATTGTTGCTTTGCTGTTACCTCCTCCTCCTCCTCTGACAAACTCTCCTCCACAACTTCTTGCTGTGAAACACAGTGCAACTCCAAATCGTTGATGTAGACCGATTGTATGTGCGTGCTAGATCAGCCACGCTCACACCTCGTTCTCGCTTTTCAATGATTTTACGTTTCATTTCTACGGTTATTTTTATTCTCTTATGGCTGTCTTTTTGCGGCTTTTTCTTCGGGGACATTTTTGCAAGGGTTATTAAACTTTGCAAAAAAAAATCACAAATAATATGTCTGAACACAAGTTTGGAAAATTGTGTGATCACAAGCGACACTAAGATGCTAGCGGAACGAGTGCTAAACACAGACTGATGTAGCAAGCGCACAATCCGGGACTTCCCCTCTCGTCACTCGTTATGCGAAACTTCGCTCGTTAAGCGAGTCTTTTTTCCCCCCAATCTGTTTATGAGAGATGCTCGTTAAGCGAGGTTCCAGTGTAGTCGGATCACTGATTGTTAATATGTAATTTTTGGTTCAGTGATGATCAGGATATGAAATGTGGTTTGTACCATGGCACTATGCTACAAGCCGGAAGGTCGCAGGTTCAAGTCCCGATGAGGTCCTTGAATCCTTCCAGCCACACTATGGCCCTGGGGTCGACTCAGCCTCTAACAGAAATGAGTACCAGGAATTAAATAATTTTCCTGGGGAGTAAAGCGCGGCCGGCGCGTGAGGCTGACAACCTTACCGCCATCTTTGAGCCGATTGTCTAGATCAGGAATGTCCAACTTCAAACAGGTTGTGATCGACTTTTTAGTGCCAAAACTGCCAGTGATCTACCACCCCCTCCTATCGCCGTACCTCGCTTTAAGCAAAAATATTGCTAAAAATAACACGACATATATTTGTTGTAAAAGCAACAGACTTACCTGGTTCGATAAGAACAGAAAAATGGGAATGAATAATACGTATTTTCCCTTAAAAATCTGAGTATAATCACATTATGTTACAAGTAAATTTACATGCTTTTCACGTATAATTTCCTTGAGGCCTATGAGATCGACCAAAAATCGTCCCGCCATCGAAGCGTTGGACATGCCTGGTATAGATAATGTGGGAGCCTCCACGTCTCACATCCCTATGGGCCATAACGGCCTATTGCAGGGATAGTTTTACTTTACTTACTTTACCATGTAGGTTTAAAAGAATTTGGTTGACGGATTTTACGAGGTAATTGTAACGAGTGCAATAGAATATTGTGTAAATTTTATGGGTTGTACGTGTATGTACTGTATGTAATTGTTGATTTAGTTACATTTGTTTGAATATGATGAATATTTTGGGGGGTTATTTTTAATTATTATTTCACTGGACGGAGTAGGAAATATCCACAGATGTTTAATTGGTGGCAAGGGATGAGACAGAATAAATGAAAATCGATAAGAGGCATTTTTCGCCATAATAAAGTGGTGACTAGCAGTGGATATCTTTTAATAAAATAACAAAAATTACTTCCCCCATGTTAAACTAAATGTAGTAATCTATCAAATGACCCTTCTCTGTGGTGATTTTGCTAGTTGTATGGTTACGAGGTCAAGTTCAAAGCTGATATTATTCTCCATTTTTCGTGTTTCAACTCCTAATGAGATGGAGATTCCCTCAGCGGATACTGTGAAGAGCAGCATCATCTGGAATGTGTTTACTGTCCCTTCTCTTTGCTTGTTCTGCTTACTTTTAGACCCTGAAGGCTGAGGCAGCGTGTGCCTTCGAAACGAATGTAAACTTCTGCCGGAGTACAAGCATATCATAATACTCATTATTCCCCTTACAACTTTAGAGTTTTCTTTGGTCCATCCCTACATTCGTAGAGATACTGTGCGGTGACATTTTATGCGAATTAAAATAGTGCGAGATAAAAAATATTAAAGTCTGGCTTTATGCCCAAAGTTTCAAATAATGCTAATTTGTTCCAAAGAGAAAACGTTTCTTGTACAGTATTATGCGATGTCTTCAGGAACACGACCTCACATAAAATGCTACCGAATTGTACACTAGTTCAGCAAAGTTAACCCTGCCGTCTTGTTCACGCTGATGACTTTGTAAAGGATGTAGAGTAGACCATTTTGATTTAAGAACAAGAAACAGGCTTGTTTGCTGTCAGAATTACTGATACTCCGTAGACTTGTGGAAATTATGGGGAGTGGGACGTGGAGGTATGGACGAGTATATAGAACAGACTTCAAGTTCACCGTGGAAGTGAATCCAATAGCAAAATAACACTTTGCATGTGAGCGAAATGGTTCAAACGGATAAAATTTGAAGTTATCCTGGAACATGACAAAACTCATATAATTTGTAAATGGTGAGGTTTGGCGCGAACTTTAAATGATGTGACTGCAGGCGCTTGTGTGCGCATGTCAGAGAGAGAGAGATGCGGAGAAAAATGAATAACCTGCTAGAGATAAAATCTTCGTTTGCTTTCTTCAAGAATATAGTATAACTCCCCAAATTATTTTTTTCACACATTTATTTTACAGAATCTGCAG